TCTTAGATAAATAATAGCCTTAACTGTAGAATACTTCAATGAACTTCTATAAACATCAAGGACCCTACCGTCAATGTTAAAAGTAGATTCAGATGCCACTATTGAGATTGGGATAGCTAAGATGTCTCTAGCTATCTGAGCAAGAGTTGGATAACTAATATCACGAGTTCTCCAATAGTCCAAAATGTTTAGATTGTTCACACGAGACATGAGTTTCTCCTCTAAATGACATTCAAGTTCAGATTTTACGTCTTGAGAAGTCACCTTATTTGAAAAGGTATCGAAGTCCTAATAAACAACAAATTTTTTTAGATAAATAACATAAATCAGAAAAAAGTATAAAAGAAAAAAAAAATAGTAAATACATATACCATCATATAATATTAAGTTGTATGGTTTATTATATTTTGATTAAAAAGTTGGCCAACCGAGTAAATAAAGTTCTGAGTAGATTGTAACACACATTTGAGCAACATAATTGCTTCTTGTATAAGAAATTGATGCAATCCACTACATGAATTCACAACATCGTCTGAAATTAAACCCCGACAAAATACGTTATCTAATATTATTATGATAAATTTATCCATACAAGTATATTTATTTTGTCAGTCGCATCCATGCCACCTCTGCCCTCTGACCACCATGCCACTATTGTCGTCATTATAGATACCACCTCTCCCCTGTCCCCTCGCCCAGGGGCGAATGGCCATAGGGGCCTTGGGCCCGGGCTTTTTTTCCGATAAAGTGAAAGATTTCCAGTCCACTAAAGTTTTAAGTATAAAAATATTTGGGCCCTCCACTTTTGCGGATCCAGTCCATTTGTGTTTCGTCTCTGCCTTCGCTGCCCACCCTGCCCACCTCCCCACCCTTGCCCACTACCACCCTCCCAACCCAAAACCGTACCCCCTCTAAACCCTACCCCTCCGGACCCACGTGGTCAGTTTAGGTGGGGTTGGGGTGGTAGCTCTCACAACGACAATAATGGCATGGTGGTCAGTGGGGTGGGCGACAGAGTGGTAGTTGTGGTGACAACAGTGGTTGTATGGTGGTCGGTTGGTGAGGGGTGGGTTGTTGGTGGTGTTTGTGACGACGTAATGGTGGGGNGGGGGGGGGGGGGAGTGACCGTGACAGTAGTAGTATGATCCTGGTTGGGGCAGAAGGTGAACGGTGTTGGTTAAATTGGATACAAACAATGAAATTCAATTACTTCACTTATATCAATAAATAATGAATTCATTAATTCATGGAATTCAAAAAATCTCATCCATTTCAATATGTGAACCAAACAAAAGAATTGTAATTTGGTCAAAGAAATTGAACATTCCAATTCCTTTAAAATCCGTCAAATTCTGCAATCCAAACGGCACCTAAGGTTTTTATATAAAAACTCAAATAATACAAGGTTCTTATAAGAACTTTCTCTAATATTAGTTCTTACAAGAACTTTCCGTTGCCTATCATCCTCAAATTGATATTTCAAAAATATTTATAAGAAAAAAATATTTTAACTTCAACAACAACTTTTTTATTTTAAAAGTTATTACATTAATTATATTATAAAAATATTTTATATATTTAATAAAAAATTATTTATTTAACGTTAACATTTAATTTGAAAGTTTTTTATTGGTGAAATATAATAAATTATTGTTTCTCTGTCAGTTAATTATTTTTTCAAATTTAAAGAATTTCACGCTCTCCCTCACTTTTCTTATTTTGGAGATGCTCTTACAAACCCATGAGAACTAATATCAATGTATTGTTTCACATGATTTTGTTGTTAAACTAAGGAGCAGTTTACTAAACACTTATCGGGTAAGCACTTAGCGGTAAAATTCAACACTATCATTTACTTACCGGGCAAGATTTTAGTCAACAAAAACGGCTTTATATGCAACAATTTACCCGGTAAAAGATGACTATGGTAAGAGTCATTGTCCTCACTTACCGGATAAAGACTTTCAGTCCTTGCCTAGCTCTTAACGGGTAAGATTCTTGGTTCTTGTCATATTCATCCAGTAAGATAATGTAACTTGGCAAGTGCTTACTCGGGTAAGCATTTTGGTAAACGACCCATAAGGTTATGGTTTGAGTTATTGTTTCACATATATTTATTTTTTAATGTATTATATTGACATGTATTTATTTCACGATATGAAACATTTTATTGTGTATCTTTTGTTTCACAACGTGAACCAAAAAAAAAGTTTAACATGAAATTTTTTACAATGTGAATACAAGCATATATATATAAATCATAGTTTTGATGAAAAAAAAATTATGTAAAAAACCATTTTGAGATCAGTTATCACAAGTTTGCAACATTTTTGTGGTTCTCATCATATATATAGAGAGAGAGAGAGAGAGATAGAGAGTTGGGTTCCGATGAAGATGAAAGTTATGGTGAGAAGGGTAAGAATGGATCTCCACCATTGACTCAATCATAATTGAAGATCAAACACTAATTCGGTACACCGAATCTGTTATGTATTGTCTCTAAATATTTGTTAATATAACCACAAGAGTGGTGTCTGATTGATTTGAGCTTGGCTCCAAAGGTTAAAAATATCATAAGGTCCTAGGTTCAAATCCAAAGAGGAATAAAAAACCCCTTATAGTCACAGAGGTTTAAATACGATGACTCACATAGCGTGATAACGGGTCGGATATACAGGTTAATAATTTTTTTTCTAATATTATAAACATGACAAAAAAACATCTAGACAATCTTATTAAAATATCTTTATCATATAATAAGTGCAAATAGTATTATATGAAATAAATAATTTTAAAATAATTAATTAATAAAAACCCATTTATAATATAATATAATAATATTAACATTAATGGAGGAGTAGATACAAAAGGTTTGGTGCACGTTGCTTTGACGGATTTCTTGTGAATTGAACCCCCAACTAGTTTTTGCTTTTCACCTATTTCCGGTTACTCATTTTTTTTTATCTTTTTCCTTTTTTTTTAAATAAAATATCTGTTTAATATTAAATACTATAAATTTATTTATAATATTTTTTTTTAAAGAAATACGTTTTTGAATTGATGTAAGGATGCATTTGGGGTACTGGACGCCTATTTGAGTCTTGTAAGATTAATAGAGATTTTTTTGGCTGTTCTCCAATCTCCAGTGCCTTTGAGATAAATTAAAGCATGCAAAAGATGGTTCGGACACGTACAGTTAACAAAAAATATGTCAAAAGATATATAAACTTATTGAGAGGTGTCATGTGATACAGTATTATGTTGCGTTATCATACATATGTACATATAACACAATATGTAATATATACCGTGTATGTGTATTGTATGCATGTAACATAGTGTACGTTGATATTCACCAAAGTTGACTCCTTTTTATAGACAAAACTAATAATACTTAAACAATGCACATCCATTATTGTCTAACTGGCGAACTCCTTTAAACATTAACGATTTAAATGTTTATTTGAGTATAATTTACATGGCCCTTATTCAGTCTCATGAGATGACGACTTTACGTGAGATTATGAGCCATACGTCTTTCATATCTATTAGGTTATGGTTTCGTATACGGTTAGCAAATCGGGTCTGACCATCCAGATTACTTTGAACATGTAACGTATAATCTTAGAGTATCTACAACAAATATATTTTATTATTTTTCTAAAATATAAAATCAGAAGTCAAAATCGTTATAAAAGATTAGATTCAGCTCCAACAGGTACTCTGTTTAAACCACAAAGGTGGTGTTTGATTGGTTTGAGCTTGGTTCCAAAGGTCAAAAGTACCAGGAGGTTACAGGTTCAAATCCAATGACGAATAAAAATCCACTTGTGGTCACAGAGATTCAAATGCGTGACTTCAGGCAATCTGCAAAGCAAATGGTCGCCCTGGGATTAGTCGGTTCGCGTAACGGGTTAGATATCCAGGTTAATCAAGAAAAAATGTCAACATTAATTATATTATTGAAATATTCAAAACTCATTATTTAATTAATTTTCACATATATATAAGACATTAAATTTAAATATTTGTGAGAGAAATTATATTTTATTAAATGTATTAAATATTTTAATAATATAATCTAATAAAATATAATTTATCTCTCATAACTATTTCATTTAATGTCTTATATACGTGAGAAATAATTAAATAATGAGTTTTAGATATTTTCTTCATATATGGAGATTTTCACCATCTTTCTCTCTCATGAGAACAGTTCATTGCAACATACTTTCAGTTATGAACTGGGAGACAAAGAAGAGTGTGACACATGTCATCGGGTGTCCACAATCATAGTAAACAATAAAGGTGAACATCCATGAACTATTTATAATGACCGATATAATATTCATGATCCATGATAAATTGATACACCATCCATGATGAATGATAGTTCATGGATGTTCACCTTGATGAATAACCATGAATGTATGTGACACATGGCGCACTCACTTGTCTTCCAATTTCTAACCTAAAACGAACCCACCCCCTATCTCTTTTTTAGCAGATATATCTCCTAAATCTCAAAAATCTAGTTTAGCATACCTGTTGAATATAATAAGATAACGAAACGACAAGGGTAGTGTCTGATTGGTTTGAGCTTGGCTCCAGAGGTTAAAAGTATCAGGAGATCCCAGATTCAAATCCAAGGAGGGATAAAAATCCCCGTGTGACCACGGAGGTTCAAATATGGTGACTCTGGGCTATCTGCAAAGCAGGTGGTCGTCTTGAGAGCCAGCTTGCATAGCGGGTTGGATATCTAGATTAATAAAAAAAAACGACATAAAATGACATATGGCAAAATCTAAGGGTCCATGTGAGATAAAAACAGATAACGAGGGCCTGAATCAGAAATCACCCCATCATTTTTCGACACATGGTGGTGCTACGAAACCAAAGAACAATCAACTTGGGAGGGATATATATGCCCAAATTTGACGCATTCTTCCAATTGAGAACGACTTCCCTTCAAATTTGAACATCTTCTTTAATGCATCAACAGAAGCAGAATGATTTAAGGAGAAAAAAATTCAGAAGTTGGAAAGTACAGAATGTTTTTCAGGTCCCCTCTCTCCCTATCTCCCCTCTGTTTCTTCATATCCACACATTAAACCCCACATACAATTGCAGCCACTGAGTTGACTTCTTTTTTAGAAAACCCATGTGGGGTTTTCAATGTCTCCCTATTGGAACCAACTTTTCGTTTCCATAAATCAGGAAACATGGTTTCTGGGGTTTTCAAATCCAAGAGGGGTTTCTGTTTTTTTTTTTTTTTTTTCCCCTTTTGAATATGAATCTGATGGTTGTTTGATTTCTTTATTTGAAGATTGTGTTCTTAATTTTCGTTGAATTTTGAAGTGAATCTGATATGGATTATGGGAGTGTTCTTTGACGATTTCAGTTGAGCAATTGTGATTCTGGATTCTGGATCATACTTATATGAAAAATGTCTGGAAAAACTGATGAAATTAAAAAGGTTTGCATAATGGGCTTTGATTTGATTCACTAGTTTAATCCATTTCCCCCCCATTAATCCTCTCTAATTGTGTTCTTACTTTGCTTGATTCATGATGATGATGATTTACAGTCCTTCATTCATAAAATGCTGTCAATGAGGCTAAATAATGGAGATGAAGGGAAAGCATTGAAAAATTCTTTTGATCCCACAGGTTGTGTATTTTTTCAGCATCCAACTTCTGCTTTTTTTTATATACATATATTTTATGAATTCTTTTTCTGGTTTAAAAGTTGTGTGACATTTAAGCTGTGGTCAAAGTCTCACCTCAAGACCTGCAAATTAGAGACCAGAATTTGATTTTTTTGTAGATAAGATAATGGGGAATATGACAAGTAGATGAAAAGAAAAAGTGAGAATATGTTCAAGTTCTTGCTTTTCAACCCCAGTAAGCAACATAGAAAGTTATTCAGCCCAATGCCCCATTTGATGCCTTAAAGAAGATCATTACTTTAGTAACTTTTATCATCTTTATATCCATGTGATCTTTATATATACTCTTCATTCACATGGGTTTCGAATATCGATCACGGGTTTCAAATGAACCCTTGATTTGAGTTGAATAAATCTTGAAGTTACTCCCTCAATTGTGCAGAAATTCCAGTTGGTAGAAGGATTGGTGCATTGGATTGCTCCAATTTGCTAGGAAATTCAATGGCTGTTAGTCATGATGTGCAGTCTCTCAGGTGTGTAATCGTGACATTATTTTGCCTTCCGTTATTTGTTTTTGAGCATATGGTAAGATCACTTTGTTAAGGTCTGAGAGAGGGAAACCGCCTCTTTGCAAAATGTTGGCCCAAGGATCCCTGGTGCACCAGGGTCCCCACCATTGTTCATTCTTGAAGCGTAGGGAGCCTTCGTGCACCAGGGGTTCCTCACGGATTCATCACTGAACCAAATGAACTCATTATGTTTCACTTGGAGGTGGGGTCTGGGGAGGTAAGATGTACGCATATGTGACCTGATGACCTCTACCCGAAAGAGTAGAGGATTGTTTCCATGAATACAAGCGGCTAGTGAAGAGCGCACGAAAGGGAGAAATATAAACATGCTAAAATTTGAAAGCTAGAGACGAGTAAATGATAGCAATGCAAAAAAGAAAGAGAGACAAATATGCTTAATTTTGAGAACTAGATGCTTCTGAGGGTTTCTTTCTCATATTGTCTTGATTTCTTTTGCCTTTTTTCCTCAGCGTGTTCACGGCAACATGGAACGTAGGGGGGAAATCTCCTACTAGTGATCTTAATCTTGATAACCTTCTTCAAGTCCATTGTCAATCCGATATATACATTCTTGGGTGCGTTCTATCTCTTTGAAAATCGATCTACCTTTGCCGATATTGACTTATTTGTTCTAAATTCCTGCTCAAAATAGTCGAGATATAATGACACATGTCTTTATACGCGTCAGGGTCATGTGATAAGTTTTCACTTTTGTTAAAACATGAGTACACGTGAAGATACCCTTATAATGTGTAAAGATTATAACTTCAATATTGCGTATTGCAATGTTAGATCATATTATTTGAATGTTGTAACCTTCACACAATATAAAGGTATCTTCACAGTTCTCACGACAAATCTTCACTGAGTGATGATACTTTCACTTTTTGTTCTCACTGAAACCAGCCTGATGTTAAAGATTATTTTATTTGATCAGTTTTCAGGAAATAGTCCCTCTTAATGCCGGAAATGTCTTGGTCATTGAGGATAACGGTTCTGCCGCAAAATGGCTATCGTTGATCAGTCAGTCTCTCAACAAATCATCTAATACCGATTATTATCCACCAAATAGAACAAATACAAATTCCAGTTCTTTTGAGAGGAAGCATAGTGGCAGCGGCTCGCTGTTCTTGCAAAGAACATCCCTTAGAGCGGCCAGCAGAGCCTTCCGATCAGAGAGTCGAAGAAGGTTTAAGAGTTGCAACTGCAGCATTGTCGAGTCTGAAAGGAAAAGCTACGGTAGAGAGTCATGTTTTACATGTCAAAAGTCAAAGTCAAACAATTTCGACGATCCCTCTTCGTCAGAAGAGGATGATACCCTTACCACGAATGCCGTGGCTGCCGATGTTAGCACTCCTGCGCCAACTGGCAAGAACCAACATTTGAGATACAGTCTTATAAAGAGCAAGCAAATGGTCGGAATCTTTGTCACGATTTGGGTGAAAAAGGAGCTCATTCCACACATAGGCCACTTGAGAACTTCTTGCATAAGCCGAGGGATTTTGGGTTATCTCGGGAATAAGGTATGTCAATACCTGATATAAGCCAAACCAAACAAAAGCAGTATATCCCACCCGATATTAGAGTCTGAGAGGTGGGATATGCACACTCCTGTCCTCTGCCCAAAGGGTATGTCAGCACATTTATACGCACACACTTATATATAGAGGGGGGAGGTTCATATAAGAAAACACAAGTATGCCTATAATTTTATATTGAAATGACCTGTGATTATGGGCTATCTTAGGTCGCGGGCCAAGTCGTCCGCACACCCTTGCGTTCACCGTGTTTTATATTCACATGTGATTTTACACTGAAATCACATGTGATATAGGTATTCTCGTGGTTTCTTATTTTTGATCTTGTTCTCGTGTTTTCTTATTCTTGATCTTGTTCTCGTTTGAACCGAACCCTATATATTGGGTTTAGTTTCGGTGAGAACAAACACCTTCCCATAACAAGGTTGTAACCTTCAGAGTTCAGACCATATCAAAGATATTTTTACCTTTTCTCATCTTCTCACAAAAATGAAATTTCTTATAATGATTCTGACTCTCTCTCTCCACACACACACACATATATCTATACTGTTGTGGACCCACAGCCAAAGTAGGGGGTCAACCGCCCCCAGTCAAACCTACAGGAAAACAAGATTGTTTACCCTAAAAAATTAACCAAAACTTTTGGTTCCTGGCCCCTTGCCGAGAAATTTCTCCTAAAGATTCGCCCCCATCACCAAAAAATCTTGTATCCGTCACTATATATATCATCACCTGGTATGTCACTCTTTGTATATATTTATATATCACTTGAAAGTAGGGTTCTTTTCGTTACTTTTTTTCACAGTAGGTTGGTAATGAGGTTGTTTACAGGGTTGTATCTCGGTGAGCATGACCTTCAAGCAAACGAGCTTTTGCTTTGTGTGCAGTCACTTGGCGTCAGGAGAGAAAGAAGGGGACGAGCTTCGTAGGAATCTAGACGTTATAGAGATACTTAAAAGCACACAGTTTCCAAAGATCTGCAGAACCCCCAACCCGAATGTGCCTGACAAGATTTTAGAGCACGAGTAAGCACCTTGCTTTACAATCATTTCCTTAATCATACTTGAAACCGGATTATATCAAGATCCGATCATAATCTCGTCTGATGATGCTTTTTGCAGCCGCATCATTTGGTTAGGGGATTTAAACTATCGGATAGCTCTTAGTTACCATGAAACCAAGAAATTTTTAGAGCAGAATAATTGGGATCCCCTTCTTAATAAGGATCAGGTACTTGCATATATATATATATGCATTCTTCATTGTTGGATCTTGTTTCTAGTAGAAAATAAAGTAGTGCAACAACATCAACAATCTTGAATCTCTTTTCTGTTTGAAGTGTATATATATATATAGACGAGGATCGTGTGAGGATAGGAGTTAAGATGAGAAGTGTAAGAACGGATCTGGATCCTTGATCACTTTTAATCTTACCCCCACCCCATGAATTGCGCTTGATACGGGAATTGATCTGGTGTGCATATCCACCCTTGGATCAATCCTCGTTGAAGATCAACACCAGATCAATTCCCTTCTAAATCACAATTTATGGATGGGCATGAGATTAAAAGTGATCAAGGGTGGAGATCATTTCTTTCGGTTCTCAACTTAACTCTTTTTCTCACACGATTCTTTGTCTCTCTCTCCCCCTATATATATGTGTGGGGGATAGGATAAATAAGAAGGCTAAATATCGTGAGAAGGTAACAATGGAAGGCTTATATGTGATTCATTGAATTTTTTTAAAAAGAAAACTATTTGGTGATGCATGTTTGGACCGACATTATAGATTTATTCATATGGGTTCACAAAATTTAGCAATTTTACTTGAACCTCCATATATATATATATGGAAGGTGGTCATCATACGAGAAGTGCGAGAAGGGACAAATTACTTGTGATTTACAACACGTCCAGAAAGCCGAGAGCAACTAGTCAACACGACCAAGGTCACATGAAAGCTAGCCCCTGCAATGGGAGATCAAAGCGACCCTTTTGCTCGTGTCGTAAATCACATGTGATTTGACCCTTCTTGCAGTTCTTGTAAGTGGAATGCCTTCTCGCTTGAACCCACCCTATATATACACACACTATTCACCAGTGGGGCTTGAACCCCTGGTCTCTAAGGAGATTAGATTTACCAGATACTGTTGGGCCAATGACCCTCTGGTAACCGAATTTAAATCTTGACATGAACGGGTGTGCTCTTGTTTTTAATGTTTTTTTCTGTTTTGGGTCGTTTGGATAGCTTAAGATCGAAAGGGAAGGTGGGAGAGTATTCGACGGTTGGAAAGAGGGGAGGATCTCCTTTCCGCCAACGTACAAATACTCATACAACTCGGATTCGTATGCTGGAGAGACCATAAAATCGAAGAGCAAGAGGAGAACTCCAGCATGGTAATGAGCCCAGATGTTAGGATTTAGAGGTCACGAGTTCATTTAAACAAAGATGCATGCTTTGACTATTGGTCAAAGAAATCTTTAGATTGCAAAATTCGAAGCATTCATCTTTTTCATCATCTCATTAATGTCATGATCTTCTTCGTGTTTTCCCTTTTTCCCCGAAATGAAAGATTGGCGGGTTTCTAGGCCGGTTTCTAGGATATTCTTGTTTTTCTGGTAACTGTGGGTGTCCGGATCCCATGGGCCCAGAGATAACAGTCATGAAAATCCTTAATGGCCCTAAGCATACTCGATCCAACGACCTACAGGGAGGAGGCCCAAGGTCTAACCTGTCATTAATGAGAACGTAAAAATTGCAGGTGTGACAGAATACTGTGGTACGGGGAGGGGATCCATCAGAAGTCGTATACACGTTGGGATTCGCGGTTTTCAGATCACCGGCCCGTCTGTGCAACATTTTTAGTATTTTTGCATAATCAAAGGCGAGTTGAACGAAATTGTTGGTTCTGTCTCTTCAATTCTAGATGACCGAAATCAAGCCTGAAACTCATTCTTTTGTGCAGGGAATAAGAAGACCGACTGTGGGTGCTGACTAGAAACGGATGCTCGAGAGTTTTGACCAGTCGATAGACGCAATGAAACGTAATAATCAACTCAAGTTCCTGTAACTGTACATAGCAATATTCTTACAATCACTATACCAGAAGAAGAAAGAAATGAAATAAAAATTTGCTTTTTGCAGTATGATCTTTGCCTTTGCATTCATTTTTCTTCAATAACTTGAAGTCAGCAATAACTGGTTTCAAAGAAGTTAGATGGGTAGTGGACAGGTTTCCATACATTCTATCCTTTCAGATTTAGGGGTCTTTTACTAAATGCTTACTTGGTAAGTACTTACCAGATAAATTTCCTCATCGGATGAACATGACAAAGACCAAGAATCTTACCGGATAAGAATAACAAGAATGATGGAGAGTCTTACCCAGACTCATACGAAACCTCATTGTGAGACACATTCATAGGTTGATTGTGATCAACAAATTGATTTTGAGCATTACTGATTGGGCCTGGGTTGGAACTTCCTCCGACATGGCTTCCTCTTCCCGATCAAATGCCACCACTAACAGAATTTTTCCACCAACACGTAAATTGTAGCCGGTCTTCTTGACTCGATAGCAAAATCCATAAACCCAGTAACATCATCGTCATCAGCTAACTCAAAGAACATGTCCATCATAGTTGTGCAGAAACCTAAATACATCAGTTATTTCAATTTTTTTAGAACATGGTTAACCAACTTCAGATGTGTAACGTTATGTGGCAAAAGGATGCTACGTTGCATAACTTCTGGAGATACATACTCCATAACATTATAGTCGACACAGCTAAATAAAAGCAAAAAACTTTCCAGCCAAATGACTGAGTTTTCCTGACATAAATAAAAAATAACCTCTAAAAAACTATTCATATCAGAAGAACTCAACAAAAAAAGCCATTAACCCCCTATTTCAAGAGAATTCGTAACATATCAATCTCAGATAGAATTTTTAACATTGCATTGAATTAAACCACATATTCCATTTCGGCCTGAATGTTCCTTCATCATCATATAACCTTTAACAAAATCAATTTTTATATACATTTAAATGAAAACTCATTCTATTCCAAAATAAATATCTGCAATAAAAAGACATACAGTTTTGAACATGTGTAATTATTATATTTTTTTAATCAATTAAATTACAATCTTACCATTAGTAAATAAAAAACAATTTATTGACTTATTCCGGTGTCACACCGTTAATAAGCACTTTTGAATGTTTGGATAAATAACTTATACCGGTGTCAAACCGGTAATAAAGAGTTTTTGAAAAAGTTAAAGTCTTCTGACTTATAATAAGTTGATAAGTGCTTTTATAGAAAAGCATAAGTTGTTTCAAATAAGCAATCCCAAACACCCCCTAAACACTTATTTTCGTATAAACAATATGGGCAAATTGATTTCGGGACAAATGGAGTAATAAGGTAAGATTATAGAGAAAACCGTAAAAACATGAAAATCAATGGAACACTCTAAGAACCATTCATTTTCACATTATGCACATGGGCATACAAATAATTTGTCCGATATATACATGTGCATAATATGCACACATGAATAGAAACAAAGAGATATCTTCAATTACTTATATGTACCGGTACATATTGTACAGATAAATAATTACTAGAATGTTTCTCAATTTTAATTTTTCAGGAGTTTTCCTTGAACCTTACCCTACAGTAATTTTTTTAGAGTAATAATTCAGTATTTGTTTTTTGATTAACCTGGATTTGAACCTAGAACCTTGTGATACTTTTGACCACTTGTTTTGCAGATAGCCCGGATTCATCGCATTTGAACTTCCGTGTCCACAAGGGAATTTTTATTCCTCCTTGGATTTGAACCTGAAACCTTCTGGTACTTTTGACCTTTGAAATCAAGCTCAAACCAATCAAACACCACCCTTATGATTTAATTCAGTATTTTTTGGGTTGGGCCTTTACCAAGTGGCATGGACGGCCCTGAATACATGCACAAAAAGTCAAGTATATAAGTACATCAACAAAGGCTTTTGGTGATTCTTGGACTCATTTTAATGCCCACGGAATCAAATCAAGCTTCACCACCTGTTGGAGGGTCTGATTTGTAATTACTACAAAGTTCAAGGGGTTTAGTCGCATTCATCACACGTGTCTCCCACGCCCTTTATTTCTTACTTGTTTTTATTAGGTGCTTCCACAGTCACCCCCACCACTCTAACTGACAAATGTGCATTTCTTTTTCAAATTTTCAACCAATCGCACCTTCAACTTTCACCCTTTCTTCAAACCGACCATTCATGTTTCAAAACGTACAAAATCGGTCCCTTGGTTTTCTTTTTTTACGTGTTTTGGTGGTGTTTATATGTGCTTTTAAGGTAATTACTACCTGATTGGATATAATGAAATGACCATAAAATCAAAAAGTGTAGAAATTTTTATCAGTTACATTATTATCACTGAAGTAACTATATTTATATCAGATATACTTGCATGTTTATTATCAGTTAAATATTTAAACTAATATTCAAAAACATACTTGAATTTGTTTAGATGGGTCAAAAACTTTGTCTATAACGATGTTGTCGAATTTGGAAGAAAAAGGAAAAAAAGAAAAGAGAAGGAAAGGAACAGAAAGGAAGGGACCGTTTGGCAGTTGTTGAATGATTTGATATAAAATGATTAAGTGATCAGAATGATTAAGAGACTCTCATGATATAGTACAAAATGAAATATAATTGTTTGATAATTGTTTACAATAAAATTAGGGCGATGAATGGTTAAGGGATGCCTAAGATACAAAATCATTCAGATGGTTTTAGAATCATTAAGAGACCGACTTTTTTTTCTGTCAAACAAGATTCACCTCTTAACGATTCAAAGACTTCTTCTTAATTGACTTATTAAAAGGTAAACAAACAACCCCGAAGTTTTTCATTTGTGTCCTCAAATAAGATGGAAAAGAAATCTATCGTTTTGACAAATATACCCTTAAGGGGTGAAAAAGGCTGTTACAGGGAAAAGGCAAGTGACGTGAAGGATACAGGGGGAAAAGGGTTTTTTTATTAATGGGTAATTTTGGAATTTTACTATTAATTTTACCTTAAACCATTACAACTTAATAGATAATATTTTTTTATGGGTGTTTTTAGAAAAGAATAAAAGTTTGGTGGTGAAAATGTAAAAAAGAAAACAAAAGAGGGAAAAGTGAGATTCCAGTGTAGTGTAGGAGGGAGAGAGAGAAGAAAGGTGATTGGTAGCATGGCTGACACTTGAGCCAAGTGTTGTGCACTTGATTAACCTCATTTGGGTTAAAATCTAACCATAATTATAACTCATGGTTAGTTACGGTGAAAAATAAATAAATTTAATGGTTTATTCCTTCATTTAATTATTAAGAACAATTTGTTTTTTTAATTAATTACTTAAATAAGAGCTATAAATAGCTAAATTTACATTAAATTATATTATTATAAGACATATTTTATTAAAAAAACAACCTAATTGTTTTTTATTTAAAATTAATAATTAGATTTATCTTGATGTTATATTTAAAGTTTAAGAATATATCTAACATAGCGGCGGTTTAATTTAGAACCAAAATCTTAACTATGATTTCATGATCGACGGTTATAATAAATACGAGTTCAATATTTTTAATTAAAAAACAAAAAATAAAAATAAAATAACCGTTTTGTTATTAATCAAAACGGTTAAGATAGGGATTGCAAAATAACCTTGGTCATCTGACATATTCTCTAAAATATAATAAAGATTTTGTTCTTAATTTTACTCTTACAGATTTTTTATATTATTTTTTAAAATAAAAAAAGCGAGAAAAACTTCAATTTTAGAGAATTTTCTAAATTTTAATACGGAAAGAGAGATTATTTTTTATTCATTTTCATTTAATGAGATTTAGTGGGTATTTGGAATTGCTTATTTGAAACAACTTATACTTTTCCACAAAAGTTCTTATCAACTTATTATAAGTTAGAATGGTTTAATTTCTTCAAAAACTTCTTATTACCGGTTTAACACCGGTGTAAACTGTTTATCCAAACACTCAAAAGTGTTTATTACCAGTATCACACAGAAACAAATCAATTAGTTGTTTTTATAAACAATCTCAAACACCCCCTTATATCTTATTATTTTATACGCAGTTTTTTTTCATTATTAGGATTATAAAACTATAGAATATCTTAATAATATAATTAATATTAAAATTTAAAAAAAAAAGAATATTTAAGAATTGAATATTGATATTTATTTTAGATATTTTCAGTTTTTGATTCTAGAAAATGTGTTAAAAATATTGTAATAAGATTAATGAAAAAGCTCATAAACTGAAAGATGACATCATGACTGAGGTAGTAATTAAGACAGAGAGAGTCTTTTTAACAGAAAAAACTGAAGTCAATAAGCAGTAATTTACAGATTCAGTTAAATACAAACAGTAAATTATGAAGTAATTGGGCATGCCAGCAAAAAAATAGAAATTCCCAATCAGTTTTCTTCTCTAAATCTGTGTTTTGGTAAGCTAACTTTTGTAGGCTGATTCTAGCCAAACCCACCTAGTTGCTCAGCCATATATCTACCTCCATCTCACATCTCACATCTCACATCTCACAACCCAACTTCTTATTACAAACCCCCCTCTCTCTCTCTCTCTCTCTAACCAAAACCCCCCATAAAATCTAGAGAGAGAGAAAATGAAGAGAAGAAGACTGTCACCAACTTCATCATGTTCATCCTCATCTTCATGCATTAATGAAGAACCCCAGATTCCTAAACCCAAAAGACCCTCTAGACCCCACACCAAGAACAATCTCAATTCCAATCAAAATGCTGCTGAAACCAACCGCAGAAGCTCCATTTACAGAGGTGTCACCAGGTAACTTCACTTCATTTCACTTGCAATTTTCTTCACAAAGATTCTGTTTTTCTTCGAAAAGATCCATTTTTTCTTGGAAATCAGTTGTGTGTTACGATCCCAGATAATACCCATTTGCTAAAAGGGTTTTGGGTTTCTGCTAGTTTCTGAAATTGGGAAGAGGGATTCTGGGTTACATGCATGGGTATACTCGAAAAATCCTCTTTCTTGACGAATTCGTTCAGGACCTTTGCGAAACGAAATCAATTCTATTCGAAAACCAATTTCTGCAGAAATTCCCCAAATTGAATTCCAGCTGTTGAAGAACATGCATGGCGGAAGTTTTTAGGGTAAAATCTTTGGAATCTTTCCAGAAAATCAAACGAATTCGATTCAAAATTTCTGCAAAAGCTTCAAATCCCAGATTCTTGATTACATGCATGAAATGATGTCGAATTGGTGTGGAGATTATGTGTTGCATGCATGGAGATATGAACGGAATTGATGGAAATCGTTAACAGGCATCGATGGACAGGAAGATTTGAAGCACATCTGTGGGACAAAAGTACATGGAACAGCATCCAGAACAAGAAAGGAAAACAAAGTGAATATCATCTCCCTCTGATATTATTTTTAATATTTAATATTTAATTTAATTATTATTATTAAATCAAATCAAATTACAGAGATCTGCAATCTTAATTTTTATGAATATTATTTATATTTAATATATTAATTAATTTTGAGTTCTGACTCTGTTTTTTTGGTTGTTTGGTTTGGTGTGATCCCCTGTTCTTGATTGTCACTGTGGTTTCTGCTTTTATAGTTTATTTGGGTAAGTCCTCTCTCTCTTCCAATTTCATTACCTTTTTTTATATTTAATAATTCAAATTTGATATTATTTTTTATAAATAAAAAAAAGAATTCGATTCGGTAACGGGTTTCTTTTTGTTTTTATTAAACTCTATAAAAAACGTTCGTTTCAGATATCTAACTGAATACTTTTATTAAATTATATGTCAAGTTAAACGAATAACTGGTGGGTTTGGAGACAATGTTGTTGGTTTAACATTTGACCGGTGTAATTTTGTAGGGGCCTACGATAGTGAAGAGGCTGCGGCTCGTACTTATGATCTTGCTGCGCTTAAATACTGGGGCCCCGAGACGACGCTTAATTTCCAGGTACCCCGTGAAAAAGATTTTGTATTTGACTTTTTCGGCTCGAGATTTGACTTGTTTTTAAAATGGATTGAGCATGTACGAGCACCCATTTGCTCGTCACGCTTTTTTGAGTTGATGTGATTGCGGGAATAAAACAAGTGTGATGTTTTTTTTGTATTTATTGTAGATGGATACATACAAAAAGGAGATCGAAGAAATGGAAAAACTGTCCAAGGATGAATATTTAGCTTCGTTGAGGCGAAGAAGCAGTGGTTTTTCTAGAGGCGTTTCGAAATACCGAGGGGTAGCAAGGTAACGCACTGGAACCCGTCTTTGTACTGTAACATCCTAGAGACACCCATTCTACTTGAACAGACGGAAAATGTTGCAAGGGTAAAACAGTCATTTTTACTTTAATAAATTAGTTTTGTATTTTTCCTTTTTTTTTTTCAAACAACGGTCATTTGTCTCTTTCTAACGTTGTTTATAGCTATCATGCTTGACATTTTATGTCTGGACAGCTTACATAATCTTTTAAAATCCAAAAACAAACATGTACCAGCAAAATATGAACAGTTTTGTCAAAGTTTTAAGAGACAGTAACAGAAAATAAAACGATGTTTCATTAAACCATAGAAACCTGTCCCGAATGGGAGTAAACTATAAACAACTTTTATTATCTGTTTATTGATAGATTACTGATAAAATAATTATCAGTAGTTTCTAAGTATTTAATGCTAAATAGTTGGGGAAGTAAGAGAAAACATGTAGAATGAGTTTGTGGGGGTGTTCATATTCTTTGTATGTTACATGTGGAATATGAGTTTGATTTTGCATATGCAACTTCACTATCATGCTTATCATTGTCTATGAGGTAATAGTGAGCCACATTCCCTTGACTTTGACTTTGACTGTTCACTCCAACAAGAAATAAAAGAATGGTAGTTGGCTTTAACCGAAAACATCAACCGTTGCACTGTATAACGTCTGTGTTTTATGTGTCAGACGATGAAGTCGTAAGGTAGCTTCTATTTGCTGTACGAGATGGTTGTTTTGGACTTTAGCAGCACACTATGCATTAAATTATGAAATGGTTTTCATAACCGAGTGTGTTTAGTTGAAGAAAAACATGATTGTAGAAATCTACGGTTTTTATGACTTTATAGGCATCATCATAACGGAAGATGGGAGGCACGAATTGGACGAGTTCTTGGAAATAAATACTTGTACTTGGGGACTTACAGTACGTATCATCTTTGACTACTGCTCTTTAAATATATTTGCGTATATGAATGTTTATATGTTCTTTGGTTTTTTACGTTTATAGTTTTCATCTATATGTTTCACGTAGTTAGGCATGTCAGGGGTTGGATCAGAATCCCCGACAAGGGTCGTCAATCAATCACTAAAACATTTGTTCTGAAATGAGAAGAATAATTAAAACGTCCAGAAACGTTTACCCTAACAACCGACACCTCGTCCTGTAACAACCACCTAGAAAACGATTTAACGGTTAAATTGCTTAACAAATAACGTGTTTAGAACGATAAACGTTACTTGTTTGAAGACATTAAAAGCCAAAATGCAACTAGAATTGAGATGGAATGATTTGAGGTGGTTTGTTTTATTAGATATTTGGAAGATGTCATTTACATCAACATCTAGGAATTGCTTTTAAGAACACAATTGTCTACTTTCAACACATTCTTTCCAAATAAGTGTGCTCAACTACCCAATCAAAACTCAAAGGCATAATTATAAAGTTCTAAGGTAACTCGCATAATATGTATAGGGTTTGGGTTTACGTGAGATCACACTGTTTTCGTGAGACCCGTGAGACCACATTGTTTTCGTGAGACCCGTGAGACCACTTTTTTACACTTGAAACTTTACAACCAAACGTTGTGAAGGTAAAAAAACGACTTTTACAACGTTTTTTTCTGTGAAGTTTCAAGTGTAAAAAGTTGTCTGACGTGTCTCACGAAAACATGTTGGTATCCCGACTCTCTCTCTCTCTCTCTCTATATATATATATATATATATCAACAAATATATTGTGAGTCACGTTTTTATATTTTGAGCTCAAAATACCACAAAGTTTGTTTTAGGGGTCGTTTATCTAAACATTTACCTGATAAGCACTTACCGGTAAAATTCAACAATATCGCTTACTTACCGGGTAAGATTTTATTCACTAAAACGCATCGTATGCAACAATTTATCCCGGTAAGTGGTAACCATGATAAGAGTCGTTGTCTTCATTTACTGGATAAGGCTCTCGATTCTTGTTTTCGTTCTTACCGGGTAAGATTCTTAGTCTTTGTCATATTCATCCGGTAAAGTAAATTGATTTGGTAAACGGTTACATGGGTAAGCATTTCGTAAACGACATCTTAGTTTATATTTAACAATATATTTTTTTTCAATTGGTGTATTAAATGTTAAAAATTGAAAGCTTGTTACACTAATTTAAAATAAATTAAATAAAAATAAAGAAATTTTTTAGTGTATTTTGATAATATTTTAATCACGTGGGTTAGAGTCCTGGTGGAGCTAGAAAAGTTCATCCACAAACCATTTAGTTTGGAAAAGTATAGAATACACCCTTTATTTCAACTTTATTTCCAAAAATGGTAAGAGGGTTAGAGCAGCTAAAGACGCATAATATAGGGGGCAAATTGTAAGGTTTTAAACTTCAAGGGTCATTACAGTAATATTAATATTCTGTGTATATATAGTGTGAGTGATTATGACGTGGCACGTGACATGGCTTACTTTAATTATCTTATTTTCTACCCACTAAAGGTGTTATTGTTAAGTAGTTAGGGTTTAACACATTCAATGTGAAAGATCTATATTTGATTTATGCAACTGTAAAAGAGCCAGGGGTAAATTTGTCCCCTTTTTTCATGAACTATATATATTCACATCCAATAATTCCCAGATCAAATAGAGGATGTGTGATCACGTGAGAACAGTTTGTTTTCGTGTGATCACGTAAGAACAGTTTGTTTTCGTGAGATCCGTGAGAACACATTTTTACACTTGAAACTTCACAGCAAAACGTTGTGAAGGTGACCTTCATTATGTTTTTGTTGTGAATTTTCGGGGTTTTTTTACCTTCATAACATTTTGCTGTGAAATTTCAAGTGTAAAAAAGTAGTCTTAAAGATGATTTTTATGTAACAATAAAATTTAAAATGGTTTAACTTTATCTCAAAAAATAATTGCCAAACAAGATCTTCAATTTGCATTTTTGTGGGATTCTTTGTAGCCGTACAAAGCAGACTTTTGATACCTTCCGATCAAATAGATCCCATCTCACAATCTAAAAAGCCGTGCAATGTTTTTATATAATATTAGAAAATTAATTATAACTAAATATTTTATATAAATAATTATTTATCTGTTGTTTTATTTACAAACGCAACCATTAACATAAATCATATAAATCAATCGCAACCGTTCAATCTGATTCGATGCATTTCTCGATTGTTTCTTAATATAAAATGTCGATCGTAAAAAACTGTTATTATTTTTATAAATATTTTAATTAAATTTTAGTGTAATTTATATTAATGGTTAGATTCATAAGGTGTTGGCTCTTTATATATATAATATATATATATATATATATATATATATATATAAGTAACTTTATAGCCTTTATTTTTTTTAAGCATATAGTGCAACAGTGCACATGCCCCTCCCTTTTCCCAAGTAACTATATGATTAAGAATATACCATTTGCATGTTTATTTTTTAACCATCATATTTGATGTGATGCGTATTCTGATGGGATTTCATATATTTTAACAGTTATCAGTAAATATAATTGATTAACTTGTGTTTTTAAGGTACTCAAGAGGAAGCAGCTGCAGCATACGACTTAGCTGCGATCGAGTATCGAGGTGCGAAAGCTGTGACCAATTTCGATATCAGCATCTATGCGGACCGCTTGAAAAACGGTGTGCCGCAAATCGAAGCTAACCCCGAGTCGAATGAACTCGTGGCATCACCAGAAAACGAGCAAAATGAAGTGGTGCATCACGACGTACATTTCCAACAGGAACAACAACTGGAATTAGTCGAGAAACAAGAACCATTGCCCGAGATTCATAACCTTGATTTCCCACCTTCGGTTGAGGACGAACACCCGTGGAGCTTGTGCTTGGATTCGAATTACAATCTCCTTCCGGTCCCACACATTCCGCTTGATAAATCCGGCGAAATGCTCGACTTGTTTGACGATACTGGCTTCGAGGATAATATCGACATAATTTTCGATGGGCCGTTCTTGAATGGAAACGAGTTGGAGAAAGTACATGCGTGTATCACGTCACCATCGTCTTCATCGTCATTGTCCTCCTCCTCGACAACGACCTCAATTTCGTATCCCATTTCGCACGGCTAAATACAAGATTTAGTCGTCTAATCTGTCATCATTTCGCGTTTTTTTTTTTGTTTCGGTGCTTTCGAGCTTTATGTTGTTCAATCTTTCTAGTGGATTATAGATGCATTGAACATTATGAGGGTTGTTTTGTTCTCTTTATTCTTTGTGAGTTCATCAATCTTCGTATACTTAGATTTACAAAACAAAAATTGGTCTCATGCTGGAAGGTTGGATTTGGTCAAATGGTTCGATCTTTCGAGCCAACTAGAACATTTACGAAGGCATTATCGGGAATCATGTGCCTCGGGTTGGAATAAGATCGGATCGCAACATAATTGGAACCTACAAGTGGATTACTCGAATAGAAATCCTAAAAAGGACCGGTTATAAAAGGTCTGGCCCAAAAAATTGATTAGAAACGAAAGCCCGTTTTGTTTCTAAATTTAAAACTTATGGTTGGTCCTTTACCGGTTAAAAGAACGTTCTAGATCTTTTGGTAAAGCTAAGAAACCGGTCCGGTCCAAACCCAGTGAAACCCAGTTAAAGTATAAAAAAACCCGGTCAACAGTTTTCTAAAAAAATAAGGGGATGTGGTTTGTCAAAAATAACACTTTTTGTCCTTGTAGTTTGGAATTACAAAATAACCACCATGATTTGCAGGAACGTCCAGATTCGATCACTCCCTCAAATGGTTGTCGAAAAGTTCCGTTAAGTGATGGGCGTTTCTGTTCTCTTATCGATGTTTTTGTCTTTTACCCAATAAAAAACCACAGGGACCAAAAACTGATTTTGATTGGGTAAAAGACAAATAAATCGATAAAAGAAACAAATGTCCCACATTTAACGAACTCTTTTAGCAGCTATTAGAGTGAGGGACCAAATTCAAATGTTTTTGCAAACCATGATGACCATTATGTACTTTTGAAACTGCAAAGACGGGAAGTGTTACTTTTGACAAACCATAGGGACCAAATTTGTAGTTTATTCCTAACATTATTTTGTAAAATTAATGATTAAGGGTCCGTTTACCAGACACTTACCCGGTAAGTGCTTACCAGTAAAATTTAACACTAATATTTACTTACCGGGTAAGATTTTAGTCCATCAAAACGACCTTCTATGCAACAATTCACCCGGTAAGCACTTACCATGGTAAAAGTCGTCGCCCTCACTTACCGGGTAAGACTCATGGTCCTTGTCTCGCTCTTACCGGGTAAGATTCTTAGTCCTTACCATATTCATCCGGTAAGGTAATGTGACTTGATAAATGCTTACCCGAGTAAGTGTTCAGTAAACGGCCCCTAAGTGTTGTTTAAATGGAAGATTATGCTTTGAATTAACCAACTTTATATATCCATACAAGAGTGAGAAAGATTTTCAACATTATATTCTTTGTGCAAATCTTAATCTGAAGCACTTTGACAATAACTGATTTGCAATTTCTTCCGGAAGCTTAACCATAAATAGCCTTGAGGAGACCATTGTGTTTCATCGTTTTCTTCTTCCCTACGTCTTCACGTTATTATTTAGCAGTAAAGATATTCTTTTGCCATACTTTGTGAACAATTGATACTAGATAATGCATATCTCTATAAAAAAAAATGAATCGGTAAACAAGCAAGCACTACCAATCCATGAGCGTGATTAAACAAAAGTCACGATCTCATATATAAGCGAATGTAACTCAAACCCAACAGCCAATCATGGAACAAGTTCGGATCTGAATATTTGTTGAACAAAATACCTAACAAACACATAATCACAAACAACATTGTGAAAACAGTAAACAAATTACAAATAACACCACAAAGATTTAGGTGATTCCGTTATCAATATGATAGTATACGTTCATATGGAACTTTCTAGAAATGTTCAAACTTTTACAAAGTAAAAGAACGTATTAAAATATCTCCCTCGTATTTGTATGTCACTACGTATTTAGGATTATGTTGGAAATATATGTATCAGCCATACAATTTCTATTGGGAATTTCATCATTAATTTTTCGTAGTATCATAAAAATATCTGCAAACAGGTTATATGAAATATTAAAATATATGTTTAATCGTTAACCATGACATAATGTGCTATAATGCACTCCAACGTGGGAAGAACTCCCCAGTCTAGTTCATGTACTGTTTATCGCGACATAAAATTGGCAAACATTTTCATCTTCCTGTACATATTTATATTCCTACTATCTTGCAACCCACCACAAGAAACAAGGGTTTTAATAACGAGTTTTGTCGTCGCTAAAAGTAAATTTATCGTCACAAACGGTTTATAGCGACGACATGTCGTCATAATAACTTCTTGCTAAAACATGTAGTCTCTAAAGGTGCGTCGCTGAAACTCATTTTCTAGTAGTGGCCATTTCTTTTGTTTAGTTAAAGTTGTAGAATAACACTATGTATGCAGTACGAGATAACCACACCAGTTAATAATCTTGTGTATTGGATCCATCTAATAATTTTCTTGCATGCATATGTCTCGTTTAGGGTATTCATCTAAACGACCAAGCCACACAAACTGCTCACACTGCATCATAATAAGTGGCTAAGACTTTCGCAGTGCAATTTGCGGTTTGCATTTTTATCAAACCACATTTTGTTGTTGCGATTAGTGGTTTTGAATCATCAAACCTCAGTTCAAACTACACAGAGGAGATCCGATAACTGTTATGAATATGGAGGAGTCGGGCATTTTCTCGTTACATGATTTTAAATATATATTATGTATACATAAACATTTACCAAAAGAAAAATAATTAATATATTATTTATTGATTATTAATTTTCAGTTTTTTATGTTATAGATTATTTATTTGGGTTGTTTTCTTTTGTTTTTTTTATTAAACATCATGGTGGAAGTTATTTAGAAGTTAAATTTTCAAATGTATATTGTAACACCCGTGTTTTTGTTGTTAATCGCTTAATGGTGTAGACTTGTTTTAACAAGACATTTAGGTGACGTTTGGTTCGCATATGTTTTTGGATATAATGGAATCTGTTGAAAGAATTTGACTTTGAATGAATTGGAATATAATGTTGTCAGATTTGACCACATGTTTGATTGACAGACATTGGAATGAAACATGTTACGGAATAGGAAACTGTCTGTTTGGTTCACATAATGTAGCTTGGAATTGGAATAAAATATTGGTAAATGATCAAAATGCCCTTTCTTGAAAATTTTATTTTTTTTAAAACTAAGAATACTTTAATAAGATAATTATTTAATATACAAAACAATATAAAAAACACAACCCAAATATAACCATGACGTTACTAAATTAACGGCGGTCGGCGGTGGTTCAGATCCAGTTAGATCCGACCGACCATAATTGGATATCCAATTGTAATTGGATTGGATCGGAATGAAAATTTCAACATGCAATTTGGATCGGTCGATTCTCGGATGACAATCTAGACTTGACCAAAATCGCACTGAACCGAACCGATTAACATCCAATTAATCATCCGATGACGATCTAGTTGTCCATCCAATCATTATCTAACTTTCATCTAATTAATTTATTTTCAAATTGCTTAAAATCGGAATTTGTTTTATGTGAGGCTTTGAAATTTTTACTTCACTTGTGCTGGTTTTAACACATATTAAAAGTGATTAATTAATTTATATCGTTGTTACAGAATTGGATTGAATTAACACACTGGATGGACCCAATTCCATCGGACCATCTATTGGATATACGATGGATATCCAATAAAAGTATCCAATGGATGGAACCGAACCAATCCAACCATCCATTGGATTGGATCGGTTATCCAATGTTAATCAGATCAGATCGGTTGACAAAATCCAACATCCAATTGATGATTGAATCGGTTCGGTTCCCCTCACATTCAATCGATGTCAACCGATGAACAGACCTACTTTGTACATGCCAAAAAATGTAAAATTTGGAGTCTTAAAAAGTGTTTTCCTTGATATTTATCAAATGTGTTGATTATTTGATGAAATTTGCATATTTGGTTCAATAAATCTTGAAAATGCATATATTTGGTATATTTGAGTATTTTAAAAAATAAACCATATGAGTGTGTTTTTTTGATAATTTATTTTATTAATGAGGTTTATTTGATGGTAATGCACTTTCAGTGTATTTGAGTTGATAAATTGTTTTAAAAAATGCATTTTTATCGACCTGTGTTGGCTTTTATTGAGTAATAGTGCAAGTGTGGATTTTATTCTTTATTTTTTGCTCAAATGAGTTTTGGGGATAATTGTTCAATGTTGAGCTTTGGACACGATTTGCATATATTGTACATTTATTTGAGAATTACATATTTGAGTGAGTTGGTCATTCAGTTGGAGTTATGTAATTAGATTGTAATGCATTTGGATCCATAAGCGTATGAGTCAGTCGTTTGATGGATGAGAAGTTTTTGATGTTCTCACACTGAGACTAGTGCTCGAGTAAGCATGGTGGTCGTGTCGATATTACGGAGAATGACCCGCTGGAATCCGGGACCATGATACTGTAGAGAGAAACTCATGTAAAGTCGGGCTCGGGGACCTATGAGTTTTCGATGTCATTTTGTACTGTGGAGGTGAACTTGCATAAAGTCGGACTCCAAGACCAATGGGTCGATGTTTGTTGTTTTACGTGATAAGGTTTGATGTTCTCACTATAATTTATAGTGAGTTAACAAAACATGTTTTTTAGAGCTTGTGGTGGTACCCTATTGGGTCGTATATGGAACCAGTAGCTTGTGATCGTACTCTGTTGAGTCATATGCGGAGCTAGGTCTTGCGGTGGTGCTCGTTAGAGCTGTATATGGAGACCAATGACTTTTATGGTGAAACTTATCTAGAGGACGAGTAGGAATCATGTTCAGGCCCAGGGTACTCATTGGAGTCGTATACAAAACTTGGGTTTAGCAGTGGTACTCAGTGGAGTAGTATACAGAGCTCAATGACCTTGAGAGAAACTCAGTGACGTTGATGTATGGTTTATTTTGTGTTCACCATATTCGATGGATACGATCTCCCCCGTCACTGAAAGGTGTTACATACTTACATTTAGATAGTGTATCATCTATATTTTTTGGTGTCGTTTTAGGTATGGAGTGTATCTACGGTTTATGATTTTGTTATACCGGAACATATCCATGTTTTGATATTTTTGATAATTGAGTTTTATCCTTGTTTTCAATATTTGGAATATTAAACCTTATTTATTATTTGTGTGAGTATTGGATTTGGTTTCATGTTAAAATGGGTGTTTGGATCATTGAGTTTTCATCACGAAAATGATGAGTTTTAAAAACATGATGTTTTTTTTTATGGAAAAAGACGCTTTTATTTGAAAAATTATGATTTAAATAAACAGTCTTTCAATTTTACCGTTTTATAATTATGATAAAATCGCTTGAATTCACTAGACGTTAAGTGTAACATTTTTTTTTTCTTGTCGGCATGTGCAACAGGTCGTCGTTGGGGAATAGTACTAATGACACTGTGAAGAGTTCAGTGCTGGTTAGAGAACAGATTTAGTTATTTTGAGACATCTTCCGTACTTTGGATGTCACAATTGTTATGTGGTCTTAGTAACACCCTTCCCTAACGAGACTATGTGTAAGGTTCAGTTTATGTATTGTTGATGTAAAATTTTAAATTGTCATTATTTCAGATGTTGACCTTTAGAAAGAAATTATTCTCTACTTGATGTATTAATGAAAATTTTAGATGTAGTTTATCAACACTAATTGGTAAACGTTTATCGGATAAGAGTTATCTTCCTCATTTATCTCAGATGATTATTAACCATCAAAATGACATAAAAGATAATTGGTAGGTGTATTATACGCGGTAGATGCTAACACCACCCTCACTTAGGATTGTAAAACAAACCGAACGAACACGAACATAGGTTTGTTCATGTTTGTTCGTTTAACTTAATTGACAAACGAACGAACACGAACGGTAAACGAACGAAAATCTTTGTGTTCGTGTTCGTTCGTTTAGAAATCAGATGTGCTCGTGTTCGTTTATGTTTCTTTGTTAACATGTTAAACGAATGTAAACCAACGAACATAAACGAATAGGTCTAAACGAACATGCCTAAGGGTGTGTTTGGTACGTGAAACAGGGTGGGACAGGACAGGACAGGACACACTTGTCCCACGTTTGGTGTGTTTTTAAGTGGAACTAACTAGAACTAACTTGGACACAGATGGGACACGGGTGTTCACCCTTACCCCATGGAACTAAGTGGAACAAGCTTCTTTTTACTAATCTACCCTCCTCACTCATTGTGCGTCCTTCCCTGTCGCTCCTCCATGCTCATACTGCCTCCATCGCCTCCATGGCACCGACCCTCAATCGGCGATGACACCCTCCATCGCACCCTCCGTCGCACCCTCCGTCGCACCCTCCATCGCACCCTCCATCGCACTCTAGGTTCCCCTCCATGCTTAGACTGCCTCCATCGCACATCCTCCATCGCACCGACCCTYAATCGGCGACGGGAGTTCTAGTCCATACACACAGTCCGACGGCCTCCATCGCACACCCTCCATCGCACCGACCCTCAATCGGCGACGGGAGTTCTAGTCCATACACACAGTCCGACGRCCTCCATCACTATACCTTCTCCTTCATCAGGTACACGATTGCCCTAACCTTCTCCTTCTCATCGCTATGTTTGAATCGATTTAGGGTTTGTTAGGTTTGAATCGATTTAGGGTTTGCTAGGTTTGAATCGATTTAGGGTTTGCTTTGCATGAATCGGTTGTTTAATCAAGCTCTAGCAATTCAAATTGCAATGGGATTGTTTGTAGTGTATATGGATATCTGATCAAGATCATATGGAAACAATACATTMTGCAGTAAGATTGATTTTGGTGAAAAAACACTAAACAGCTCACTGAGGGTAAATTGGTCATTTTAACCAGTTCTATCCTATCCTGTTCTGTCTTACCAAACGCTGAACAGCTGTCCTGTCCTGTCTGCGCACCAAACGCACCCTAAACGAACATAAAGTCCTTGAGTTATTATATTGTTTCTCATGAACCACTAATTCTTATTACACATGATCAATGATTTTTCATTAGTTCATACCTTCTTTAACATAAATTTGAGCAATTGCTACAAATTTGATGCTAATAGATACTAGAATACAAGAGTTAGGGGAGAAGATTGTTCTTCATTGAGTCTTCCTTATCAAAATGAAACCAGAAGCAATGCCCACAAAAAAAAAAGCAATTTATAAAACAGAAACCAAAAGACTAAATGTATGTAAAACATTATATACTTTTTATGACCTTGTTAAAGGAAATCAGGAAATCAGGAAACCAGTTAATGGGACGAGGAAAATGAGCAGACCGAACGCAGGAAAGAACAAAACAACCGTACCTGTTGGGGAGAACACGAGCGGAGAAATGGACCGATTTAGGGTTCACGTTCACAACCTTCTTCAACCCTTCACGATTTATTGAAGGTTTCATCTGGAGGCTAGGGTTTTGAGGGAAAAGTGAAAAGGTAAAAATTTCAATTAAGACAAAATGATGATAAAATTTAAATTTAAATAAATCATAAAAAGTTAAAACTTAAATAAATACTATTTGAATTCAAACTAAACAAATAAAAGATTATATATAAACGAACGAATATAAACAAATGTAAAATGAACGAACGTTCACGAACATAAATAAACAAACGAGACTCTTGTTCATATTCGTTCGTTTAACTAAACGAACAAAAAAATTTGTTCATTTTCGTTCATTTATAAAATAAAACGAACTTCCTGCCGAACGGTTCGCTGAACGTTTGGTTCGTTTACAGCCCTACGGCCTCACTTACCGGGTATAAGATGATCCAAACAAAATAAGTGACGCAATAAACCCTTACTCGGTTAGCATGTGATAAAACGATGATTTGGATCACAAAAAGAGATAATAATATGTCGAAGGACTGCATTTGATAAAAAAAATTGAATCAATATTGAATAAATAATAGGATGCGTTATATATGACTAGTTTGTAAGACCAAAAAGAACGTGATGACGCGATATTTAACGGCCAAATCAAAGCCATTAAAAAGAGGGAATAAGAACAATAGAATGTTGGTCATAGTACAAGTAGTCAAACCAAGTGTACAAGTGGCCAAAGCATGAAACGAATGAGGCATATTTCTGATAATATATTTTGTGTTTAACCAGGTGTTAGAACAATGTAAATGCATCAATTTTGACTAGATTACACTTTAAATTCCAAGTGGTGTCAAAACCATGTCTTTTCTATCACGTGTTTTCAGGCCATATTAATATTATTGTAGGTTATGTTTGACGGATTAATTGATAAGTTAACTGTTAATTAATAAACCAGTCATATGTTGAAAAAAACTGGTTGATACGTCATTTGATATTGTAAAATGACCTAAAATGACATGTTGATAGTTTAATTGGAACAATACAAGGAGCATAATTCGATAAAAACGTGAAAATAATCGCCAAAACTTATTGAAACATTACTTGAAGCTAGTGATGGCCAAACCGGCCCGGGACCGGTAAGGACCAGTTATAGGATCAAAATCTGGGACCGATTATGGATTTGAGGTGTTTCGTGGGACCAGGACCGGTTATGGCTCGGCCCAGCCCGATTTTTAAAAAATGTAGTTATTTTTTTAAATGTAGCCGTTATTTTTAAAAAAACTAGCCCTTTTTTGGCTCTTTTTTTATTTTGTAATTTTTGCTTTATAAACACTATATATAAGTGTATGGTTTGAGAGATTTATATATCAAGTTCTCGATTTGCAAAAAACGCAAAAAAACGTTCACAATAATCAGTTTCTCGCTATATTGTGTAAGACAATATAATTTTAATTATAATAAAATGCATTTTCAAAGTGTATTTTAGTGACCAAATTACAAATTTTATTATGTATTAAAAATATATATCATTAAAAAGATAAAAATAAAAAAAATCATTTTTGATGACCGGGACCGGGATCAACGACCCATAACCGGTTACAATAAAGCTTGACCGGGCTCAACTTTTTCGAACGGGACTGGTTATTCTGGGACCAGTTATGGCCGGTTATGAGAAATCTTGGGACCGGTTTTTTGCCATCACTACTTGAAGCAGCGATTCAAAAAACAAGTTTATGACTAACCAAACACAATTTAGTATAATCGGGATTGTATAGATCTCTTTTTTGTATGAACCCTCTGGTTGCCATAAAAGGAGTTCGCCCTCTTGATCAACGCTCCAAAAATCACACAATGATATATTCAACGACTAAACCAAACTTCAAGAGTAACGATATAGGCAGACATGTAGCTTAACGCATCTTAATATCCATCAAGCAACCTTAACACACCTAACATGGAAGTACTGAACCGTGACATACCTTATCCATGAACATGACTCATCATATCTACATACTTTAACATGAGAACTTTAATATACCTTAACATGGAAAACAATAAACGTCAACATACCTTAACATGAAAAACGAACATTAACATAAATTAATATATATTAACATATCGTACCTGCCATGAAGGTATTAACATATGTCAACCTAATCGATCTCAATGTGCCTAGATTTGGAAACTGAAATGACGAAATTACCCTCTTTCAAAAAAGGCCACACGATATGCGTCCTTGGATCAAAACATGCACGCTCTCGCTCGAAAGAAATGATTTGTTCATACGGTTTCCACGAAATTTTGAGTTATTATCCGGAGCCAAGCGTTAGTGTAAATTTGGTATCGTTGAAAAGGTCTCGGAACAAGAATTATAATGATACAATTTACAACGTCTAAAACGGATTATGGGTCAATTTTAGGACAAGGTGGGACCTAAATGTCATGAAGCCAATTCATTTGGGGTAGAAGTGTAATTTAGCAAACATAATCAAGAACTTGGCGCCATGAACCCTTTATTAGGGTTTAAGGGTTTTCTTTCCCAAATGCCAACACAAAACCTGTATACAGACAAAAATAGCGATAACTCTGTACCATAGAGACGACGAGCGGATACGTTCTGTGATGGCATGAAACCTTCCTGCTCCATATCCAACAATCCTTCAATGGCATTCGCCACCGGCTTTCGATTTATCCGATGTTACAACCAGTTGTCTTTACCCATATATCCTGCCCGATTATCGAGGCACAAATGCAGCGTTGATGGCCTGCGGTTTCTTTCGGCCACTCACCGTCCTACCCGTCTGACATCGGTGAGTTCCAAAAGTTCTGCGACCGAGGGTGTCGAGGAAGGGGGAGAAAGCGGAAATGGGGGTTTAATGACGGTAGCTACAAGCAGTGATGGTGACGCAAGGAATGGAAGGATTGTTCTCACGGAGCTTCATAAAGAGGCTACTGAAGCATACATGTCTTATGCTATGTCGGTTTTGCTTGGACGAGCATTGCCAGATGTTCGTGATGGACTGAAGCCTGTTCACCGCCGTATATTGTGAGTGATTCGCAGTTAGATTTATCATATACAACGAAGGTCTGATTTAGGAAGTTCTTGCTTTGAATTAGGATTCCCCATTTATTAGTCAACATTTTTGAATGCTTGGGGAATGTGGGTTTGGCTGATACATTCACTTACGTGAAATGGTTTGCGTATGATTAGAAAATTATTTGGAAAAAAGAATTCGTTTACACAATAAGGTTGCTTAGTATCTGATAAGAAATGCGATAATACTTGCATTCTTTTGGAAAATAATGATTTTTTCTGTTTCTTTCTATAAATTGCAAAGAGGAAGATTCATTTAGTTTTGGAGAGGGTGCCATATGATAAGTGTCAATGGTTGATGTTTGATGAAGTTGGGAAGGAAGATGAGGAGAAAAATGACGAGGACACCTGGATTTTGTTAGATATACATTTTACGAATGGACAAGGAATATGCAAAAAGTTGTTCTCTTTCAAGCTTTTGTAGCGAATTTTAAATGACTAAGATATGGAGTTCCGAAACTTTTGTGTTATATGGTTATTAGTTCTACTTGCAAACATCAATCTTCACAGGAATTAGTCCAGGCATCTTTTTACGATTTTATTTGATTGGTTGGTAATGAACAGCTTTATACTCCTTAGCCTTTTATATTGGATGGTGGTTCTGTTGTGCTAATTGCTACGATCCTTTTACCTCTATCTGGGTTCTACTTCACTGAATATATTGGGAACATTGTAAGTGGTATATATTGTTATTGGTGTAACTGGGTAGTCTTATCTTTACTGTGATCGCAGATACGCGTTGCATGAATTGGGTCTTTCATCACGTAAACCTCACAAGAAATGTGCTAGAGTTGTTGGAGAGGTTATGACCCGACTACATTTTTTATACTCATTGCTCAAAGCCTGTTCTTTTTGTTACTGCCTTGTTCTCTTCTCTTTTCATCATGCAACTTACAGTTGGATTACTCTCTCTCTCTCTCTCTCTCTCTCTCTCTCTCTCTCTCTCGCTCTCAGGTGCTTGGCAAGTTTCACCCACATGGTGATACTGCTGTATATGATTCACTGGTCCGGATGGCACAGGTAATCATATATGAATCTTGATAAAAAATATCTCCATGGGCACAAGTGAAATTTAGCACCTTTGGCAACTGTGTGTTAAGGCATTTTATAACCTCTATCAACTTCAGATTTGAAGTTTCATCTCTAGAAATATTTATATGTAGTTTACTTTCTACCTTGTTGAGCACATCATTCTTTCCAGGATTTTTCGTTGCGTTGTCCACTAGTTAGTGGTCATGGTAATTTTGGTTCAGTGGATGGGGATAATCCTGCGGCGATGCGGTACACAGAATGCAGATTGGAAGTATGTTTTATGCATCCTATTTCTTTGTCATCTTGTATCCGATTTTAATTTTAGTTGTTTATGGTGTATATTAGATGCTTAACTGTCTATGTTCTGAACCAGCACTTAAAAGTTATGGTGATAAATATATTCTGTTTTTATATTTGGTTAGAGCATTTGGTTATTGATTTCCTTTACTTTCTTATCTATTGGTAAATCTCATTTTCCATTTGATGCCTAGGGCTATAGACCTGCCTATATGTGTTGTTTGCTTTTATGTTAATGTGTCATAAGAATAGAGAGGTATTCATTCTTTTAGCTTCACTTTTTCAGGCACTTGCTGAAACAATGCTTCTGTCAGATTTGGATCAGGATACGGTACGAATTATTCAATCTTCTAGTCTTGAATATAACTATATATTATAAAAGCACATAATTGTACTTTCATGTCTTATTTCCTAAGTTATTTTTTGGCAGGTTGATTTTGTCCCGAACTTTGACAGTTCTCTAAAAGAACCATCATTGCTTCCTGCGCGGATCCCAAACTTGTTACTTAATGGTTCTTCAGGAATTGCGGTGAATTATATCTAGATATTACATTTTAACATGAAGTTATATGTTCAAATAGTTATTGATTCATACTTTGGTGTTTCCTTTCCTAGGTTGGGATGGCAACCAATATTCCTCCACATAATCTTGGGGAGTTGGTTGATGCTCTTTGTGTGTTAATTCATAATCCAGATGCCACGGTATTTGTTCAATTTTTGAAACTAAATTATTTTTCTCAATGTTCCTTGTTATTATGTTGCCGGATGTGCATAATTTATTTTGTTCATACTTTCTGTCTCCTGTAACCTTCTTTTGGGAATTGAATAAGCATGACTAACTCCTATATGAGCTCCTATGAATTATCCTTATGGAAATTCTGTTTATTCTACCCAACCCTTTGCCCTAGAAATGATTGACTATGGTTTATATTTTTGTTTTTAACGTTTTTCTTAAGGTAACATAGTAGAGAAAGATGATTTAAGAAAATCAATAGAAGGTAGGAAAATATGTGAAGGCTTCAGTGAGAATGAATAGCAGGTTCTATGGTTTCTTAGTTATTTTCTGATTTTGGCATGCTGATAGCCTGAAACCGAGGGAACGTTCTACAATATAATCCATTAATTTCTTCTTGTAGTGTTCAAACATGAATAGCAATTTTATCTATTACGAGGTATCAAACACTTAACCCTTACTCTATGAACTACTTGATTTTGTTACAGCTGCAAGAATTGATGGAATACATGCCTGGACCTGACTTTCCAACAGGAGGAATCATAATGGGAAATCTTGGGTACCTCTTCTTTTTTGTGCTTAAGGAATTGCATGTATTATGATTTATCATTATACAAATGAGCAGATTTTTTTTTATGTTTTCTGATGAGCTGTATTATCGCCTAAGCGGACATGTAAGAAATGTTGGTCTGCAAGATGCATGAATGCCACTGGTGTCTCACCATAAGGAATTTGCAGAACTCAACTTGCTCCATAAGTATCTTACATTCTTATTGCTTCAGCATCTTGGAGGCCTATCGAACTGGAAGAGGACGTGTTATAGTCAGAGGAAAGACAGAGATTGAGTTATCTGATTCCAGAACAAAGAGTGCAGCAATTGTAGTAAAAGAGGTCACTCTCTATGACTCTATCAGATTGTACATGATGGAAATTAATGTCATGTAAGTGAAGTGTATTAAAATTGCTATTAATTAGTATTTCATATATGAAACAGATTCCTTATCAGACCAACAAAGCCTCTCTTGTTATGAAAATTGCTGATCTAATTCAGAACAAGGTACGCGGTACGCTGATGGTGTTAGTTATTTCATTTTTTGTTAGGCTAAGATCGTTATGTAAAATTCTTCAACTTTTCTGTATGTAGCTGCAACTAGCTTCTTCTCTCTGTTTCTTATATCTTTAAACTTATTTTTATGCCTATTAATGCTACATATCTTCTACATTTAAGGTTAAATGTGGGAAGAACACGACAGTCATTATTATGTACAAATGATCATCCTACACCACTCGTAATATTTCATGTCAACTGCTCTTGATTTGAACACCCCTGCGAAAGGATATAGCTGCCATTCTTCGAGACAAATAAATTACAGTTATGCTTGCAACATGTAATAAGAAAATCAACGTTCTAACCTGTGATGAAATTGATATTGTAAATTACTACATTGATAATATAGTTGCTGAAATGTAGTAAATTTTTTCACAAATGCTAGAAGCCTAGAATTCATTCATGCAAACATTGGAGTGTCAAGCAAGTTTGAGTTTCATGTCTTAGGGGGCGTCTGGTTTGCAGATTCTGAAGGAATATGATGGAATTGGAATGTTGAATTCCATTGATCAAATTCCATTCCCTCGTTTGGTTCATTCTTTTTCACAAAAGGAATCTTCAAAATCCTACAAATTCCACAAATAAAGGAATTTAACATTCCTTAGCAATTACATGGTATTTTGATGGAATGAAATTCTCTTTTATCATAATATCCATTAGATGTGGCTTCAATTGAATTATTTAGTTTTATTTTTCTGTTTGGCGTATCTTGATTGTTACCTATAAATATTTGGGTATCCTCATTTTGTGTAGTCTAGTCTCGATTCGTAAATAAGATTCTTGCAATTCTCTCTACATATCTTTCTCTAATTTCTCAACGAACTGGTATTAGAGCCTAGGGTTCCTTTTAATTGCTGATCACTAAACCCCTCAATCGCCTTTTTTCTTAGAATCGCTTCATTGTTTTCGTTGATCTTCTTTTTGTGGGCAATCAATTGGGTCTATTTTGGTGTTCGCTTCAAGGTGGAGTTTTCCCGATTTTGAAATTGATGGTGTGAATTGACGATTTCATCTGTCAATTTGAGGAAAATCGGCATTAACAGTTAAATTGCAACAGTTTATCGGTTCTTCAATCAATTTCGTCATTGAAATGTTCCAATTGGTGGCATTAACTTGTGTCCAGCAGCCAACCTTGATGTTTTTGATTTCTTGAATGGTCGTTTCTTGGTGATCAATTTTTGGATTGCCGATTTTTAACAACCAATTAAGAAATTGTCGACTCTTTTGAAGATTAGTTTGGGTCTTTGTCCTTGATTGCTCAGCATTGAATCTTGTACCATAGTTCTTTCAAGTTTTTCAGAAAATGCCTCCACAAATGATCAAGATAGACAAGTTCACGGGAAAGAACAACTTCAGCTTATGGAGAGTAAAGATGAGAGCTCTCCTAAAACAACAAGGCATCTGGATTCTCTTGGCTGGTGAAAAAGGCCTGAAGGGATGGTTGAATTTGAGTTTGCACAACAAGATGAGAAGGTTCACTCTACCATCTTGTTGTACTTGGCAGATGAGGTGATCTATGAAGTTGCCGATGAGGAGACTGTTGCGTCTTTATGGCTGAAACTAGAGAGTCTCTACATGACCAAGTCTTTAACGAACAAGTTGTTAAAGCAAAGGTTATTCTCATTGCGAATGAAGGAGGGAATGCCTTTGAAGGAACATCTTGACGAGTTAAACTCCATTATGGATTTGAAGAATGTTGAAGTCAAGATTGAAGATGAGGATGCCACCCTCATCTTATAGGTTTCGTTGAACTTCATATGAAAATTTTGTCAACTCGTTCATTGTTGGTAGAGACACAATTACGATGGAAGAAGTTCGTTCAAGTTTGCACTCACGAGAGTTGCGACATAAAGCTTCAGGAAGTAGTTCCGAAATTCAAACAGTTGGCTTGTCGGTGGTAAATGGCGATAAAGACAGAGGTAGAGATAAAAGCCGAGAGAAAGGAAAAGGGAAGTGGAAAATTAGAGGTCCATCAAGATCGAAGACTAGAGGTCCAAGTGGAAACCCAAGGGATAGCTGCCATATTGTAAAGAACCGGGTCATTGGAAAAATGAGTATCCAAAATTGATGTCAAAAGGATCCACTGTTGTAGCAAAAGATGATCCGGCTTCGGAGGCTGATTTGGTGCTCTCGGTGGTTGATTGCAAAAGTCTGTTAGAGGTATGGATTCTTGATTCCGCATGTTCATTTCACATGACACCACATAAGGATTGGTTTAACATTTGTAATTAGATTGCAACCGGAAATGTCTGATGGGAAATGACATGTCTTGCAATGTTGTTGGAATTGGCTCCGTGAGCATTAAATTGCATGATGGGACAGTGAGAACTCAAAAGATGTTCGTCATGTACCCGGATTGAAGAAAAATTTAATCTCTTTGGGAGTGTTCGACTCAAAAGGCTTCAAGTACACCGGTGAGGGCGGAGTAATTCGGGTCACTAAGGGTGCATTAATAGTGATGAAAGGAGTCAAGAGAGGTACCTTGTATGTGCTGGAAGGTAGCACGATTGTTGGATCAGCAACGCCAACCATTAATTCTGTAGAGAATGAGTCAGATTTGACACGTCTGTGGCACATGAGGCTAGCCATATTAGTGAGAAAGGCATGGTAAATTTTAGCAAAAAAAGACTTCTTGGAGGTCATAGAGTTGCTGAATTGGGTTTTTGTGAGCATTGCATCTTTGGAAAACAAAGGAGAGTGAGTTTCTCAAAAGTTGTCCATACAACCAAGTCGACTTTAAATCACCTACACACTAATTGTTGGGGTCCCTTGCAAGTTCCTTCACTTGGTGGTGGTCGTTACTTCCTCTCAATTATTGACGACTACTCTAGGATGACTTGGGTATTTGTCATGAAGCATAAGAGTGAGTCATTTGAGAAGTTAAAAGATTGGAAAGTTCTCATTGTAAATCAAGTTCGGAAGAAGATAAAGCGGCTGCGAGCAGACAACGGATTGGAGTTTTGTTCAAGTGAGTTTGATTGGTTTTGTAAAGATGAAGGAATTGCAAGGCATCGAACGGTTAGGCACACTCCACAGCAGAATGGAGTAACTGAAAGGATGAATAAAACGCTGCTGGAAAGAGTGAGATGTGTGCTGTCAAATGATGGGTTGAGTAGAAGTTTTTGGGCAGGAGTGTTAAACATGGTTTGCTACTTGTTGAATAGATCCCCGACAATGACAATTGATTGTAAAACTCCTATTGAGGTGTGGTTCGGTAAGCCGACTGATTACATGGGCTTAAGAATATTTGGTGGTCCTTCATACTACCATGTTAGTGAAGGAAAATTGGAACCAAGATCAAAGAGGGGCTGTTTATGGTATACGAAATTGGAGTAAAGGGCTACAAAATTTGGTCTCTTGATAAAAGAAAGGTGATTCTCAGTCGTGACATAGTGTTTGATGAGGAGAGTATGTTACTTGACGTGAGGTGTTCATTTACTCCAAGTGTTCAAGACGAGAGTATGTCCGAACAAGTGGAGTACGAGTTAAATGGTCCCGATGAAGGTGAGAATACTGCTGGACAGTGCAGTAACTCGCCTCAACCAAAACCTGTTGTGCCTGAAAATCAGCACCAACCTGCAGAAATTTCGATCTATAGCATTAGGTAAGCCCCGAAGACAAGTTGGTAGGCCAATTCAATATGGTTTCGATGACATGGTGGCCTATGCTTTGCAAGTTGCTGAAGAATTAGAGTTCTTTGAGCCATCTACTTACAAAGAAGCAATCACTACGAAGGAGGCTGATGTGTGAATAGCAGCCATGAGTGAAGAGATGAAATCCCTTCACAAGAATAGAACTTGGAATTTGGTAAAGTTACCTCAAGGCAGAAAAGTTGTGACCTGTAAGTGGATTTTTAAGCAAACAACGGGGCTGCCAGGAGCTGAAAGTGTGAGATACAAGGCACGTTTGGTGGCTAGAGGTTATAGCCAGGAGCAAGGGGTTGATTGTAATGAAATTTTCTCGCCGCTGGTGCGTTATACATTCATTCGGGCGTTGTTGACACTAGTAGCAAAGGCAAATTTGAAGTTGGAACAATTGGACGTCAAAACGGCTTTCTTACATGGTGAGTTTGAAGAGGAAACCTATATGAGTCAACCGGAGGGTTTTGTAGCTCAAGGTAAAGAAATCTAACAAATCTCTTTATGGGTTAAAGCAATCTCTGAGACAGTGATATAAACGTTTTGACAACTTTATGGTGAGTCATGGATTTAGTAGAAGCCCTTATGATTGCTGTATATATCATAAGAAAAGTGCTGGTGGATCACGTGTATCTGCTACTTTATGTGGACGATATGTTAGTAGCGGCTCATGATATGGTTGAAATTAAGAAGTTAAATGACTCCCTTATTCTGAGTTTGACATGAAAGATTTGGGGGCTGCTCGAAAGATTCTCGGTATGGAGATTATTCGAGATAAATCTAGACGTAAACTTTTCGTATTCGATGAAAGTCGTATGTACGGCTTTCATATCTTTCGAGATCCACCCTACAATATGGAGTCGGCAGCTACTGCGGCCCCTGCTTCTTCAGGCGGAACTCCGTCACAGAAAAGTTACATTTTGAAGATACTTTCTCGATTTGGTATGGCTTCTGCAAAGCCTGTGAGCACACCTTCATTGACAAATTTCAGATTATCAGTGGCTTTGGCACCTCAAACCGAGGCTGAGGTGGAGTATATGAGGAAAGTTCCTTATTCTAATGTTGTAGGAAGTCTTGTGTATGTCATGGTCTGCACTAGACCTGACATAGCTTATGTTGTTAGTGTTGTTTCATGTTACATGGCTAATCCGGGGAAAGAACATTGGGTTGCCGTGAAACGTGTTTTTTGTTACCTCAAAGGCACAACTGATGTAGGTCTCATTTATGGAGTAAAAACAGATTGTATTGTGGATGGATTTTCAGATTCTGATTACGTAGCTGATCTTGACACATGGAGGTCATTAACGGGATGTGTTCACTGTTGGCGATACCTTAGCTGGAAAGCGGCGTTAGAGCCATTTGTTGCTTTGTCTACAACAAAGGTTGAATATATGGCTCTTATGGAGGCTGCAAAAGAAGGCATTTGGCTGAAAGGTTTGATTAGAGATTCATCAAGATCAGACTGTAGTTTTTTGTGACAGCCTGAGTGCTCTTTGTCTTGCAAAAGACCAGGTGCATCCTGAGAGAACGAAACATATAGATGTTCGTTATCAATTTATACGTTCGGAAAGGAGAATTAAAGTGATGAAAGTGAAGACTGATGACAATCAGACTGATGCACTGACGAAACCAATTTCTTTGAGTAAATTTAGGCATTGTTTTGATCTCCTAAACATTGATAGTTGGAAGTAAATTTTTTGTACTAGAATCAAAGCCAAGGTGGAGATTTGTTAGATGTGGTTTTAATTGAATTAGTTAGTTTTATTTTTCTGTTTGGCGTATCTTGACTGTTACCTATAAATAGTTGGGTATCCTCATTTTGTATAGTCTAGTCTCAATTCGTAAATAAGATTCTTGCAATTCTCTCTACATAGCTTTCTCTAATTTCTCAACAATATCAAATATGCCCTTAACCCAATATACCCTAATCTCATAAAACCCAATATGACCATCGTTGACCACCTTCAACCATTGTCAATCTGAATCACCGCCTACCACCGCCATTTTTAACCACTGTCGACCATCGCCATCTGAACCACCGCCAACCACCACCGATCTGAACCACCGCCAACAACTGCCGATCTAAACCACCACCGGTCTGATCCACCGCCGATCATTGCCATTTGAACCACCATGGACCACTACTGATCTGAACCACTGTCGACCATCGCCATCTGAACCACCGCTAACAACTCCCGATCCGAATCACCACTGGCCACTGTCAATCTGAACCACCGCCGACCATCACCGATATGAACAACCACTGATTTGAACAACCACCAATCTGAACCATCGCCGCCATCGTCGATCTGAACCACCGTGGACCACACCACCGATCAGAATTACCGTCGGACACCGTCGACCACCAACGATTTGAACAACCACCGATTAGAACCACCACCGCCACCGTCGATCTGAACCACCGCTGGCCACCTTCAACTGAACCACCATCGATCTGAACCACTGGCGACCACCGCCATCTAAACCACAACGGACCACCACCGATCTGAACCACCGTGGACTACCCTCGACCTGAACCACCGTAGACCATCGTTGATTTAGTAACGTTGATTGCCTTATGGTTATATTTGGGTTGTGTATTTTATGTTGTTTTACATATTAAATAATTATTTTATTAAAGTATTTTTAGTTTTAATTTTTTTTTTTCAAAAAAGGACATTTTGGTCATTTACCTACATTTCGTTCTAATTCCAAAGCTACATTCGGTGAACCAAATAGACAGATTCCAATTTCTTAACATATTCCATTCCATCCAAAAACATTCTGCTAACCAAACGCCACCTTAAGTTTCTTTTATATACAAGGAGTTATGTATACAATGTCAGATTGAATGACCACCAAGAGAGAGAACCTCTGGGAAAATCAATAAAAGAGAGGAAAATGCAATTTGACCAAATCTGGTAGATCTAACAGGCCTTTTGGTCCTATTCCTCTTGCCGACCATCGCCATCTGAGTCTGTAATATGAATTTAAACTATACACCAGATCTGCACATCGGACTACAGCTTTACAAGTCACCAGCATGTGAAACATTGTACTGTGAAACATGGTATGTGTTACTTCTTCAATATGGTTGAAGATTCTTGATAACTTAAAATGCATTGCGACGCCCAACAAAGGGAGGATCTTAGTGTTGGGAATTTATGGGGAAGATAAACTTTGTTGATTATCAAGGCAAGATATTGAACACAGAGCGTGGGTATGGGCTTAAACTGTTGAACCCAATAGAGTTCTGCATTCATAAGTGTAAGCTTGTTAAATGGGTTTGATCTAAACTTCAAAATTGTATGCTCACGAGCAGCTTGCCACCAACGTTTTTAAGCCTACAAGATATCAAAGTTGAGCCTGCATGAAGTTATGAGTTTGTAAATGGGCCTTATACGTGATCACATATTTGCTCAACGCTCAACTAAATGCTGGTGACTTGTAAAGCTGTAGTCCGATGTGCAGATCTGGTGTATAGTTTAAATTCATATTATTCCAATTGAGCATGTTCTAGTGTTGAATGTTAAATGTCTTCTATTTGTATATATATATTTTTATTACATGGGTCTTACACAAACACATAAAAGATAAACACATGGTAGAATTAACACAAATGCTTTCTCTTTATTTGAACCAACTGAATTTATTATGAGACTTCCAATCCCCATGTATTCTCCTTAACAATTTTATGCCCCATCATAACTTGAAATTCACGTCTTTTTTGTTAAGACTTTGGAAGGCATAAGTGATATTCGTGATGAGAGTGACCGGTCTGGAATGCGGATAGTCATTGAGGTAATATTCTGAAATTTTTACCATCAATTCTCATTGGTAAGGGAGTTGTTACTATGCAGATTCATGAAGGGGTTTCTAAAATTTATATCGACTTGAATTGTGTCCATTCAAACTTTGCAGCTTAAGAGAGGATCTGATCCATCCATCGTTCTGAATAATCTATATCGCATGACTGCTCTACAGTCGGGTTTTAGCTGCAACATGGTTGGGTGAGTGGTTTTCTTTATTGGTGGCTTCTGTTCTTTAGACGTCTTAAAATCTTTTAGAGATATTGATATTTAGTGTAGAAGCAGTTATGTTGGTGCCCTCTCATTGAGTTGTGGTGTGACCGTGTGTGGCTCAGTAACAATTCTTGTACCATTCATAACTATTTAACTATTTAATTATTGTTGGTTAAGGAATCCAAAGATCATTCTTGCAATTACAAATCTCTTAATTTCCTTGGTCCCTCTTATCTTCCTTTACCAACCTCACCATATCTACATATTTTTTATAAGTATTGTCATACGTGGCAGGAACACAAACATATCATATGTAGGATATCCATAAATCTTTTCTCACAAGATGACTAATGAAAAAACATTTTTCGTTTGAAATTTGTACAATCCAACTTGCATTTTGAGATGGCCTCTTCTTTTATTTCTTCATTGTTATGAAGGGTTGGGGAGGATGATCAAGTTATATGCGACACGACATTCTCACTATGACTGTCCTACTGATGCAGAATAGGTTGAGATAGTATAATGGTGTTATTGATGAGAGACAAATACATGTTGGTCACAAGATGGGCCAAGCATTGCCACATATTACAAAGACGTAAAATTACTATGGGCTAGGCTTTATTAGATGTAATCTTGATATTATGATTTTAAAAGTCGTTTGAGGCGCTCCTCGAGGCGGCCCAAATCCGCACCCGAGGCTGCGCGCTGCACCTCTTGGACCCATGACAAGGCACATAAATGCTTCTTTAGGCTTTTTTTATAAGCTTTATGGCAGTAGTAGTACTTCTCTTTATAGTATGAGTCTTTTATTTTAAAGAACTAAAAGTCGAAGCTCCATGGTCCCGATGTGTACTTTTAATATTTTAAAACCTAAAATGCTAGTACTTTCTCCTAAATTAAAATTGTGGTTTGACCCTTTCTTTCCCTCCGAGCAACCAATTTTTCCGGACCCTCTCAGCCTATCTCACGATTTCACTCTTTCCTCTCTCAAGAACCACTGAACCAACACCTCTTATTTTCTTTTTCCTTCTCATTCTTCCTCTCGGCCTCTCTCACCGTTTCACGCTTTCCTCTACAAGATAGTGTGTGCCTCTCACTGTAACTTGTAGATTGATATGTTTTTAGACTTGTAACTAGTAATTTTACTAATTTGTGACGTTTAAAATTTGGTATGGAATTATGTTTTGCTTATTATTAATATTATGAGTTTTATTTGTTTTCCGCCTTGAGGCCTGTACCTCGGACTCCCTCGAGGCTTACACCTTTGGGCACGGAGGGCAAACCTTCAAGTCCCGATTCCTCTTTTTAAAACCTTACTTGATCTATTTTCTGGAAGACTCTTTAACTTAAAAGCAAGATTATAAATAAACGTCTAATTCTTTTTGACACATTATTTGTTCATTTCTTATGTTTCTACTCATAACTTCTTCGATAGATATTCGTAGACTTTTCTTATCAATTTTTGTTTATTTTCGTAATAAAACCCCATTTTCTAATATAGATTTGTCAATTAGTTTAAGGGCTATCAATGAGTTCTAGAATAATTTTCCCTCTCGTTGACAAAGACTTGAACCTCTTTCATAGCTTAATCACTAGTCTAGCCCATAAGTTAGTCCCCGTGATAGTTTATTTTAGGATTACAACCTCCGACTGTACCAATGTACTACAAATCATCTTGGGTTGTTTCTTAAATTTAAGGAGTGACAAACATTTGATGCAAAGGAGATGGTGTCGTGTAATTGGCTTGGCTGCTAAATGCATGATAAAGCTTAAGAGAGAAGTTTTCAAATGAAACCACCCCATGTTATTAGTTCTTTTCTTCAATACGAGTTTGCATCCCATCATTTTATCTTCCCCTCCGATTATAGATGCAGTAGTTTCCCGATAGAATTACATTGCTTTGAGGTATATTCATGTCAAACTACCTGTTGTTGTTTTTCTTATAGGCAGGCGATTTTCTGCTTTTAGTTCCATTCTCTCTACTAGCATGTAGTCCAACACTTTTAAACCTGTTTTGATTAACTTCTCATGTTCAATTGCTCTGGCAGTATTCTCGATGGACAACCTAAACAAATGGGATTAAAGGAGTTGCTTCAGGTAACTCGTGTGCCAGCTGATGCATATACATATTCTCTTACTATAATTAATGAACCATTTGTTATGTTTGAAAGACCATGATTAGTTCGTATTCATCTATGACCTATATTGTTCATTCACTTAGTTTGCTAATCTGTTTGAGTAAATGGCTTCACTGCTATTACTCTTTGAAGTGGCTTTTCCGACACATGTTTCCTCAGGAAACATGCAATCTCTATAGGTGCTTTGATGGTTCATGACATTGGAGCCCGTTTATAAGTTATAAATCTTATTCAGTAACCTTAGTAGTCGGTACATCGGTAATCCTTCATCAGACTTCTTCATAGTTATAATACTGCAAACTAGCAAGCCATAACAGGGCCATGTTCCCTAATATTATTATCTCATATTTCTGATGGAGTGATGACCAAGCTCCATTACATTTTTGGTTTTATAAAGAAGGCTTATTTCTTTATGATGCTCTAAGCAATGATAGACTTGCAATTTGTCTATAATTAAATTCTCTCTGGTATGAATATTTATGCCATGATTTTGTGCTAGAATGGCCATTCTCATTAGCTAGTATATGTATAAGTTTACTGGTTTAAAGGTAAACATGGGGAAAACCATGTTGATTGCTTGAAGTACTACCACCATAATATATTCTCTTTTCTAGCAATGCAGCTCAGTTTTGAAAAATATATACCAATTATTTTACCCTTACTTGATCTACCAGTCATCATACACTTGCTGACTGTGTTCTGTTGTACCTGTATCTAGAGCATATTGCCTTCACTACTGCTAGGTCTATTTTGTGCCATATTCTGACATCTTAGTAATTTACTCTTTGCTGGTGCTAGCTTACACCACTGTATGTGGATGATAGTGACCCATCTTTGTTATATTGTTCGTCAATTGTACGCTCTCTTTCTCTCCCACACACACCATAGACATATGAAGTTGCTACAACAGTCGCATGTAACTAAATGGTCATTGGCCCACCCGTAACCTGGTAGAGCCCAACTTCCCGGCAGGTAAAGGATTCAAACCTCACCGAAGGTGAGGAGTGTGTATGAGTATTTAGTGTTTGCGATATATAAATATTACATACTTCAAAATGAAAAACAGTCGCATGTAAATGCCTAAATGGTTTTAAGAAAATCAAACATATATTTGTCAGAACACAAACTTCCAACTGTATTTCTAACTGTGTCTAATATACTTATTCCTACAACTGCTTTGACCAGTATTTGGTGTAGTTTGCACCATATTTAAGGACCTCTGTATCTTGTATTTAAAATACAGAAGGATACAACAGGCTGGCAAACATAAACGTTAATTTGCTTTATCTTTTTTATCTCACAGGCCTTCTTGGATTTTAGATGCATGGTGGTTGAAAGACGGGCAAAGTTTAAGCTTGCACATGCACGAGACAGATATCATATTGTTGAGGTATGCTAAAATGTTCCGCTACTCTCTCGGTTGAACTAATTGCATAATTATAAAATGTCTCATAGTAAATACTTTACCACCCGTGAGGATTATCTATCCTACCGTGTTGCAGTAAAGATCCATTTATTCTCATACCAGCATTATTACCGAGTAGTTGCGTTCTATGCTGTTATAGCGGTGAAAAATACAAAATTGCGGTCGGGACTGATATTTGAAATAGCGGTTATAGCGGTCCAAAAATAGCGTTCATATAATATTTCTTAGAATTATATATAATTGTATATATATAATATGCCTACATAAACATATCATTTGCAAAATAGGAAAAGTGTTCATAAACGAGCTAATCACAAGCAATAGGTTTAGCATCTGAGTCAACATCATTTAATACGTTCACTTCTTCGTTAGGCTAGCTTCCCACTCTTCCCCACATCAGCTAGCTGTATGTCCCCCTAGTCTGCTACCCTAGTCTGGCATCTTCAAGCATTGCATTAATTGCGAACGAAATTTTCACTAAATAGCGGTCAAAATAGCGGTAAATTGCACCGCTAATTGAGCTACTGCAATTTTAACCGCAATTTTACCACCGATATTTTGCACAAGCCCGTTATCCGAGATATCGCCGCAATTAACAACATAGGTTGCATTGTGTGTGACAAAATTCGTCAATCTGTTTTCCTGGTTTCAGTTTTCAAATTTGAACTTCGCTCTATTTCTTATATTGTGTCACACATCATCTATAACGTACTAGAATTACAAGTGGCAATTTGTAGCAATAGTTATCATTACTTGTATTCAAACCCTAAAGCACAATAATGAACTTAATCTACCATGCATATCTAACATTCCTTTTCAAGTTGGGGGAATGTCAAACATGCCCATCCTGCTAATGGGTCAATCTGATTCTTGTAAAAAGGTTTCATCAAGATGCTGGTGGCCCCATTACTAGGAGACTTGCAAGTAACGCCTAGTTTTTCATGAATTAGTGTATAAAAGTATAAAAGGTCAGTTTTTGGTTTCATTTTGGATCGAAATACGAATTAAACTCTAGCTACTTGGTTCCAACTCTTGAACTAATGGAACTGGTGAACTTATGTTCAGTTAGGTTCTGAGGTTTAAATCATTTTTATTTATTATAAATAAAATTGAAATATCTTAGTAAGTAAATTATTGTGATACAAGAATAAATTTAACATCAAAACCGTTAACATAGCTTAACAAACAAGCTATATATTATTTTCCTTTACTGTAAACAGAATTGGATTTTCATCTTGTATTATAAATAAGTTTGTTTATTGTAAATTTGTAATGAATAACGATTGTAATGCAGTATTAATTAATTTAAGCTCAATTTGACGATGTTAATTTATTAAGGGGTGGAGTTGATGTTTCTGTTTCTACATAATTTATGAGATCTATATCAGCAACACAGACACATGCAGACACATATTATGTATGTGTGTATATATATATTATATGTATGTATATGCAAATATATATTATTTGTGTGTATGTGTATATACGTGTGTGTATAATTTCTTGTCTTGTATTTGCTCACTTGTAGATTTCAGTTCTTTATTAAAAACCACTAAGAAATGACTTCAACTAACTGTGAACACTTTTTCTCTTTTGGTAAATAAAGGGTATCATAGTTGGGCTCGACAATATTGATGATGTAATTGATGTAATCAGAAAAGCTACAAGCAATTCAATGGCAGCCGCTGATCTGAGGAGAAGTAAGGCTCACTATTGTTTTATTTTTTGTACGGTGACATGCTATAAATTCTCACTTGCTCTTTGAGTTCATCAAGTGAAACCTTCTCTGTCTGATGTATATTGTAAGATCAGTTGTTATGAACCACCTTTATTTACTTCTTGGGTAAAAGTGAGTAACTCTGGAAGAATATCTGATTATGTTTATTATTAGGGAAAAGGTTAGAGAAGCAAACCAGTAGCTGGTAAGTGGAAGTTCTACTTCTGATGCTTAAAGATAATTTTGTCTTTGTAGTGGTAGAACGCTTGGATCCTATTAAACTTAGGCTGTTATATACCAATTCTCATCGGGAGGATAGATATCATGGGGATTAGTCTTAATACTTCAAAAGTTCGGCATTCTTTCTTTCCACCTCTTGGACCTCTTCATTTTTTTGGTTTGCTTATTTTTGGAGCCAAGAGTTTTTAAGGCAGTAGTACCTAACTCTAAGAGTTATTTCGAGATTAACACGAGTAACAGGCTGTTTACTTTTTTCCGTTAAGCTTTGTATGGGTTAAGCTGTCTGTCTCGAGATAAATTTATTGCAGTTCTATTTCCTAAATCAACAGTATGAATGACAGAAATGTTCGTTTTACCCTGTCTGTCTCGAGATAAATTTATTGCAGTTCTATTTCCTAAATCAACAGTATGAATGACAGAAATGTTCGTTTTACCCTGTCTGTCTCGAGATAAATTTATTGCAGTTCTATTTCCTAAATCAACAGTATGAATGACAGAAATGATCGTTTTACCCTGCAGTATGAATTAGTCACTGCTTAGGTGAAGCATTGTCATATCTTAGATATCATTTGGTTCATTGGTTGAACACCCTATATAGTTGATGAAAATTTGTTTTGTAAGCTATTTCTAAGAAGATATTTGGACTTCAATATAGAAGTAAAAAGCAGCAACTCTATAATCAGTTTAGAATCAGAAACCTAATCTGTCGATTCAAATTGGAATATAGTCTTCAAGCAACTGTGTTCAGAAATATTTGATCAAATGAATACAGTCTTCATGAACTGCATAATCAGATTGGAATTAGAAACCTAATCAGAAACGATATAACCTACTGTGTGTTTGAACCCTGAACCTGAACTCTGGAAGCATTTCTGTGATTTTTCGGTGCTTCGTGACTGGTAGGCGACAAGATTATTGACTTCAAGGTGTAGAAGCAGAAGCTTTCCTCACCTTCATTGTCTCAGATCTGTGTAGTTCGTTGAAGCTTTTGTGTTTGTCGAGGGATTGAATGAGGGTTGGAGGTTAGAGTTTCGATATTGGGTTTTGTTCTCGATGATCATTGTAGCTTGTGATCTAGAAGAAGAGTCGTTGTCTGCGTGCGCTGAAGTCGAGAGACATGAGAGAAGAGATGCAGGGGCGTCAGAGTTGAGGGAGATGAGGGAAAGAGATGCAGTGGCATCAGAGTCAAGAGATGAGGGAAGAAGCAGCAATGGAGGAAAGTGATGCACCCTAGCTTAAATCGTAACCTGGATTTGACCTATTCAGATCAAATCGTACGCTGGAATCACACAATCGACGCACAATCGAAGCAAGAGATGTAATCGGTCAGCTTCAATTAACGAGTTTGATATTGTCGGCCAATCTCTTATGAAACGGAATTGGTACAATTACCAGACGTTCGAGAGGTCTGGTCCTCTCCCTGAGCTCTCGCTCTCAACAAATTCACCGAAACAAAACAAAAACAGAATACCCACCTCAACTGACAGCTCCCTATTTAAGCAAAACTCAATTACCAAAATACCCTCCCTTAATCGACTACTAAGAATCAGCAGCTACACTACTAACCTGATTTCTTCTTCTATAAGTAAACCTCAAAGGAGGTTTATCAGAAAGAAGCCGGTCGGAAAAATAAAGGAGGCGAAACAGGAGTATTTTTTCACATGGGTAGAGAGGAGGCCTTTTTTACGGCTGAATGGGACGAGAGACCCCTACCGGCTGTCTGAATAAGCCAATCATTTTTCATTTAGTCTCAAGTAAACACTTTAATATGGCTGTTCGAATAAGCCCATTAACCCTAAAGTGGACAGCCCCTAATTATTGTTCTTATGGAAGTCATCGGTGGTTGGTACAATGTTTGTTTCCTAGGTTTTGCCATATTAAATCATTGCAAAATCTCAAAACATGGTACAGTATAATGAAACAGATTGCTTTGGCATATGATGTCATTTGATTCTTTGGCAACTCGTGTTGCAGGAATTTTTGGTTGCTGAACATCATTTCTTGTTATTAATCGTAATCTTCATTAGCTTCAGATGCTCTATGTATATCGTATCAGACTTACCCTGTTTATCTATATTGCAGAGTTTAATTTGTCTGAAAAACAAGCTGAAGCGATATTAGATATTAACTTACGGAGACTTACATTACTTGAGGTGCAACATCTTCTCTAATTTGTTGCCAAAATTGCTTAAAATGTTACTTATTTTGGTTGTGTTTATAAGTGCGTTAAGATATGTTAATTTTTTGCAGAGAAGTAAGTTCATTAACGAAGGAAAAACCTTGATGGAACAAATTTCTAACTTGGAGGAACTTTTATCAAGCAGAAGGCAAATATTGCAGGTGCACCTTTTAAGTTGCTCATTATTTCTTCTTTGTGTTAAGTAGATTCAAACATCCATAACGAAAATGCTCAATTGTATATTTCTAGGGTCACAATCTAATATTATTTACATATGCAACACAAATGTTATTGATTACTAACGCAAACTCGTAGAGGTTTCTAATTAGTAATAAAAGGTATCACTTTTACCATTTAAAGCTGTAACATGTACTCTACACACTGGAATAGACGTTTTAAGCAACTCATGAGGTCGACAAACTTATATATATATAAGATGATTATACTATATTAATGGTACGTGATTAAATTCGTCATATTGGGTTTGGTGGTTATACTATACTTCTTATATGGGATCAGAAGCCATGAAAAAAGGCGTGGATGGAAAATATAGAGGTGGATGAGAAATATTCCCTTTAGAAAATGTGCAGGGCCTTACTAAAAATGAATACGATTTTTCTTCTCCATTTGTACTAATAAAGAAGGTCTATTATTTTTGTACCTAACACTATGACACCTCTTTGCTATGTTGCATGACGTAAAAATGTTTGTTATACTCTTCAATTCCCGGGATCTACATGAATGAATTTATAACTTACTAGAAGGGTACTCGCGCAATGCAGCGAGATAAATCTTGATTTTAATGTTTAGTTTTTATTCCGTCTCTATCAATATAAATACGATTTATGTGGTTTTGAGAAAATGATAATGTTTTTATCTTTGAATAAAATAAAAATTTGAATATAGCATAAAAATTTGAAAGAAATAAATCGATATTAGTATCAAATTAACTATTTAATAATTTCTCGTTTTTTTGGTAGAACTTCTTTAGTTCAATTATTTATTATATGTTAATTTAGATTTAATAACAAAGTAATTTATTTTTGGTTTAATAATATAATTTTTTAAAAAGATAATAATTAAAAATTCCGTTAGAACTTAATGATTATCTTAATTATATTTTAGATTTTCTATATTTAAAATGAATGTTTATCTTGTATTTGATTATATTTATCTGCAGTTAGTTATGCGAATTTAAAAAATGGAGCTTTAATAAGTTGTACTTAAAATCACTTGTAATCTTGAATTTTAAGTAATATGCATCAATAAACAGTACTTAATGCATAAAAAATGGTTTTTAAGAGTTTTTGTCAAATGCTTTATAATATAGTAGAGATTTGAGTTGCCAGTTTGTATCAACATTCGAAAAGGGGAATATTTTTGGGTTTCATACTTGTATATCTCTTTGAGACTCCAGATATCATCATTGATGTTGGTGTATGTGTATCTACTGAACCGTGCATCTGTTTTCTACGTAGTTAATTGAACAAGAAGCAACTGAGATAAAGAATAAGTTCTCCACTCCACGACGTTCCACTTTGGAGGATGCTAATGATGGCATGCTTGATGAAATAGATGTTATTCCCAACGAAGAAATGCTATTGGTACTTTGAAACTCTACACACTCGCTACACTTACTTTTGGTTTTGTGGTGTTGAAAGGCCTTCCGTTGCACTGCCAGGCAATTAGTGAAAAAGGTTATGTCAAAAGGATGAAGCCGGACACTTTCAATCTACAAAACCGTGGAACCATTGGTAAATCGGTTGGAAAACTGAGAGTCAATGACACAATGTCAGACTTCCTTGTTTGTCGTGCTCATGACCTCCTCCTATACTTCAGGTGCTTACTACAACTTCCGCCTTTTTTAGTATGTTTACTTCTAACATATGATGGTTGCAACAGTGTATATTTTTATCAAATGTTTTTTCTTTCATTGAATTGCCTATTTATATGCCTTTTCTTTGTTTGATATTTGTCCCCAGTTATAGTTTTTGTAAAGATTATTAAACCGAGTTTTACATAAGCCAAAAAAACCCTATATTTTATTGACAATTGACGGTAAGGAGTTTAAATAAGAAGATGCATCACAAACGTTTGTAACCATTATGTGATTACATAATGAAAATTGGGGGCATGATTTTGCATTGACAAACATACGAGAGAACAAGGAATCTGTTATAACGTGATTAAGCCTGATTGTCAACAAAAAGATGATAAACGGTTGCAATTTTTCATTTTTGTGTAGTGACAAGGGTATAGTGTATTCTGCTCGGGCCTACAAAATTCCGGAATGTTCCCGTGCAGCTGCAGGTACACCCCTGATCCAGGTATGCTATCTTTCCTGTTAATCTGTCCCTATGCCCTTCTGGTGGATAGTTATTTCTTCTCTTCTTGTGTTTGGTCCAGATTTTGTCCCTATCGGATGGTGAACGGATTACTTCTATTGTTCCTGTGAGTGAATTTGCTGAAGATCAGTATCTTCTGATGCTTACCGCAAATGGCTACATTAAAAAAGCATCTTTGATGTACTTTTCATCTATTAGGCCGTCAGGGATCATAGCACTTCAACTGGTCTGTGTTTTTTCTTGTATTGCTTGATGTTCAATACTAATGAAGAATACAATATCTCTGGAGTCTCACAAATCCTGCTTGCTAGGTACCCGGTGATGAACTCAAATGGGTCCGCCATTGCACAAATAAAGATGCTGTTGCAATGGCTTCACAAAATGGAATGGTTATTCTTAGTTCTTGTGAGACGGTAAGTTCTCATTTATTTTTTGCTCATTGGTAAGAAGCCAAGAGACTAATATCATATAACATTTAACTGTGTTTTTAACTTTCTGCTTATAGATCCGAGCACTTGGAAGAAATACTCGAGGTGGGGTTGCAATGAGATTGAGAGAAGGGGATAGAATGGCATGTGTGGATATTATACCTGCAGCAACGCATGATGAGAGCGTGTCTGAAGCTCACCATAGCCAGTAATATCTTTAACCTCTCTTCACTTTTCATAGTTCTATGCCTTGGTTCACTGGACAAGACGGGACAAAAATTTGTCCCATGTTTGGTGCAACATTAAGACTGAGAAGATTGAAAGGTAATCTATGAGATCGGGGAGTTATGCTTTTTCTCCCGCCTCAGCATAAGAGGACCGAGGGCCTGTTTGTTGGCAGCTTAAGGAGCATGATGGGATTCACAACTTATTCGGTCAGCTAGACATGACTTCTTGGTAGTGGCTTAATGATATAGAAAGTTGCTTATTCAGTAAGCTTTTAGGGGGAGCTTTATGCAGAAAACCAAAACCTAGTTTTTTCCACACTTGCCCTTCCCAATTAAAAAACATGCTCCTTCCTTCTATGAAAAAGCCTTCCCAATTTATACAGATTAATCCACATAAATAACTTTATCCATACAGGAATTGATGGAAAACCAACCAAACAGCCCCGGAGAGGACAAAAGTGCATTTTTTTTTCCACCAAAATAGGTGGAACAAAAATCAAGGGGATGGGACAAGATTATTAAATTACTAAACTACCCATGTCAAATTAAACCCTGATACGATTCTTTCACCCGCATGCCTCATCCTCTACCGTCTAGTCCTGTCCAGACCCATCTGGGTACCAAACGTACCCATATTGTAATTCTCAAAGCAAAAAAAGATCAATGGGTTAAAAGAGCTGTATATTTACCCTCTAGTTTTTTCCCTCATTGAGGAGTTAAACTATTGATGTTGTTACAATATTGAATTCTGGTTTTGTTGTTTGCCATTTTTGTAAGAATTCATCCTGTTAAACAAGCAACTCTTGGTTTTCTTTTTCTAGTTTTACATAAACTTGTATTTATTTGTGACTTCATTTGAGGGATTTGGTCTAATGGCCAGTGATCTTCATTCAAGGTCTCATATTATTATATGCTTTTGTTACAAAGTAGTAATTCTCTTTTTTGTTTAAATGTGCAGTAAGGGAGCACATGGGCCATGGCTGTTATTTGTGTCCGAGAATGGTGTAGGAAAGCGAGTTCCTCTGAGTGAGTTCCGCGAGTCTCGTTTGAATAGGGTTGGTTTAATAGGGTGCAAGGTATGCTTTTCTTCCATTTGCATGAAGCAAGTTTAATAATTTTATTCATTTTTCATTCTTGTTTTTTTGATGATGAGTTTTGGTTGTAGTTTTATTCGGAAGACCGTCTTGCAGCAGTTTTTGTGGTTGGTTTTACCTCAGCAGGTAAAGAAGGTTATGTTTGTTAAAATTATGTAAATAATAAAGTAGGAAGGAGGCAGTCAGGGAATAACAATGGTGGTTGTGTGTTACATACATATTTATACAGAGGATGGTGAAAGTGATGAACAAATAGTTCTTGTGAGTCAGAGTGGTACGGTGAACCGAATAAAAGTGAGGGATATTCCTATTATGAAACGGTTTGCAAGGTACGTAAATATTATTATTACTATTGTTATGCGTGTTAGTTTTGATATAATAATAATTAGTAAGTTATAATCAGGGGAGTGATATTGATGAGGCTTGAGCATGCTGGGAAGATTCAATCAGCTTCTTTAATCTCCGCTTCAGAAACAGAGGTCGATGAAGTCGAAGCTGCTACTGTTGTCGTATAGGATTGACTTTACTAAGGCTTAATCGGTTAAGATTCCATAACCAATCTCACATTATTACTCATGGACCTGCTTGAAGCTCCTGTAAATGTCCCAAAATGCAAGGGAAACACAAGTCTCTGTGTGTGTGTGTTTTGTGTAACACAAGTACAGTAATTATTATACATCTTTTATATTTTGGGGATTTTGTAAAATGGTTGGTTCTGGTGTGTATGTAGACTGTAGAGGGATAGATGGGTTGAGCCTTTTTTTTCTTGTAGGAATGGAGGAGCTGCTGAAAATGGTATTTATGTGCCATCTTTCTTTATTTTATTTTTTTGTAATATGCATTTTTTGATTTATTAAGGCTCATATCTCTAGTTTTTTCTTAGATGTATAATTATACTTGTTTTTACAACTTTCTGTAAATCTCAAGTGAAGGAGCCTTTAAGGTATGTTTGGTACACTGGACATGATAGAACAGGACAGGGATCTCTGTCCCATGTTTGGCATGAATTTTATGTGGAACAGATAGGAACATAGTGAAACAAAGTGGAATAGGCCTGTTTCATCCCTATCTCATAAAACAGGGTGGAACAAGGTAAAACAGACTTATATTTTATCAATATAATCTCAAAATAAAACTTAATTTTCTTCTAAAACATCAAATAGGTCTTTTTTTTTACATTTTATTCATTCTTTAAATTTTATTTATTGTATTTTATGTTTCTTAAACTTTCATTTTACTGTCTTCAGAATATTATTTTTATATCGTTTTTATGTTTTTATTAATTTTTGTAATTTATTCTATATTAATAATAAAAGATAGGGAAAAGTATAATAAAAACCAATGAACTTTCTTGTTTGGAATGATTAAGTCCTTGAACTTTTTTTTGGAACAAATAAGTCCTTGAACATTCCAAAACATGTTAAATAAGTCATTGGACAATTTTTCGGAACAAATAAGTCCTTGGACATTCCAAAATATGTTAAATGAGTCCTTGAACATTCCAAAAAATGTTAAATAAATCCTTGGACAATTTTTGAAACAAATAAGTCCTTGAACAATCCAAAACATGTTAAATAGCTTCTTGAACTTTTATAAAACATGTTGGATACATTCTTATGACTTGTACAACTAGTTAAAGTGGTAAAATAGTGAAAAAAATCCAGAAAAAAA